ACTCATTCTTCAATGCCCAGCACAAAAGTGTCTCCCTAGGAAGGCTTCCCTGCCTCTGTGTGCCCTTGTGATTGTCCATGAACACCTCCATGGCAGCTTGACCCCCACCTCCACCCCGCCATGTGGCTGCTGCCTGCCAGCTCCCCTCCCTGACTAGGGCTCCTCCAGAAGCTGGGGCTGAGTGGGAGCTGCCCTTCCGGGGCTCTGACACCCTCGGAGCCAAGGCACACCAGCCTCCAAGCTGTGGGTGTCAGGGCACCATCAGGACGTGGCTCTAGCCTCGATGCTGCCAGGTGGCTTCCCACCTGCACCTCCTGGTTGGGCTTTAATAGGCAGAGGAAGGGGCTTGGGCCTCACCAGCTGCTGAGGACCAGAAAGCAGCCAGCACCACCTTCCCCCACCCTAAGTCCTGCTGCTCAGGTGGAGTAAAAGCCCAGACAAAGGAAGGTGAAGCAGAGACTGGGTTAGAACCCAGAGTTCTTTTCCCTGCCCCTAAACTCCCTCCTTATGCCTTCATGTGAAGGCTGGGACCTGACCACGGGGTCAAGCAGAGCATGGGTGGGGTGGGAAGCAGCTGTCCTCGCCTCTGGCTGTGGCTAAGATTTGATCCCACCATCCCTCCTGGTGTTGTCAGGGAAACCCCACTAATATTTCATCAGCTGGTAGTGAGGGAGACTTTCAAGAGCAACAAACCCAGTCCTGTGCTATCCTGAGGTGGGTGTGGGTCCTAGGGTTTGGGAAGGCTGTAACTGTTCAGCTCTTCTAGGAGACAAATGCTGAGGCCAGTTAGAGGTGCAGGAGGTTTATGGAGAAAGGCTCACTTTCAGACCATAGGGATCTGAGTCTTCATTCTTTCATCCTTGTGACAAAGTCCCCCTTAACCCTGGAGACAGGCATGGTAGCGCATGTCTGTAATCCCAGCACTTGGAAGGCTGAGGCAAGAGACTCACTGCAAGTTCAAGGCCAGCCTGGGCTACATAGTAAAACCTAACCCAAACCAAACCAAAACAAAACTCTGCAAACTCCAAGTGTTATAAAGCTGACCCCTAGGTGAGGTAATACAGCCATAGCCCAGGGTGTGAACTTGCCACTGGCCTGCTGGGTGATTTGCAAAGCTGTCAAGCAGAGATGTCCCAATCTCCCTTCAGGAGAACTGGCTGCAGAGTGTCACCAACTCACCCGCAGCGGCTGCCCCGTGGACCTACGGCAGCTTACAGAGCAGGTGCCACCTCTCCCTGGGCTGCCCCTAGAAGCAGCTGGGGTCACACAGGCCAGGCCACCTCTGCCCTGCATGGGACTTCTTTGACAGAACCGCGTGGGCCTGATCAAGACCTGCTCAGGGCTGCCTGGCAGGCGGAGGCTCCTCCTCCCTGGGCCTCCTTCCTTCCTTCTCCTTCACAGGTGTTGGCACTGTGCAGGCACAGCACTCTTTCTGCTTCCTCCTGCCCCCTCCCTTTGATTCTTCTTGGCAGCTTTCCCCACACCAGTTCCTATGAGGGAGGCTAATCACAAATGCAATGATGACAGGAGGATGTAGGGCCTCTGGAAGGGAGTTAGGTCACAAAGGCTGGGCAGCTGTCTTGCCCCTTCCACCACCGGAGGGCCTAGAAGCCAGAAAAAGGGTCCTCGCTAGGACTGAATCAGCTGCAGCCTTGATCTCGTACTTCCCAGACGCTAGAACTGTGAGAAATAAAAAAATCTTTTTCGTAGTCCTGGGGAGCACAAACATTTGAGGCAAGTGCTATACCACTGAGCTACAGCCCTGGCCTTTCTTATTTTATTTTTTGAGATAGCGTCTTGCTAAGTTTCCCAGGTTGACCTGAACTTGCAATCCTCCTGCCTCAGCCTCCTAGGTAGCTGGGCTTACAGGCACACACTGTTCCTGGCTAATTTCTGCTGTTTATGAGCCACCTAGACTATATGATTTTGTCATAGTAGTATACATGGACTAAGACAGATGAAACCAAGTGAAAATGTGGCATTTCAGAGGAAATAGCACTGGCTTTGGAGCAATACCCTGGCGGTAAATTTCCTTTATGCACCTAATAGTATGTATCCTACCTCTAAGATTTGGTTTCTATTTCTGCAAGATGTAGATGAGAAAACTTCACCCATGCCTCCCATCCAGAAAAAAGAAAAAAAAAATAGCAAGGCAACCAGTACTTTTGCCTCTGCTTCTCTCAGAGGTACCCACCAGGGACCATTCCTAAAACTTATGCCCAGAGGAACTCAAATGGCAAGAAATTATTTGTGCCACTCCAGAGGTTTGGGGAGAAATACCTCAAGCTAACTTATTGTGGCCTCAAAATTTCTTCTGTGGATTTTATCTTAGAAATACATTCGTGTGAGTCAGGATACTGTGGCACCTATGAAGTGTTCCAGAGCCAGATGACCTGAGTTAAAATCAAGTTCTGCCACTTACTACCTTGGACCTTAAGTGAGTTACCTTACCTCTCTGAGCCTCAGTTTTCTTACCTGTAAAGTGGTGATGATAATAATATCTACATTGCTAGGTATGGTGGTGTATGCCTATACTCCCAGCACTCAGGAGGCTGAGGCAGGATCATCAAAAGTTCAGGCCAGCCTGGGCTACATAGTGAGTTCAAGTCCAGCCTGAACTGCATAGTGAGACCCTGCCTCAAAAAAACAAAACAAATAAACAGTTTATTTACTTTGTAGGATTATTGTGAGGATTAAATAAGTTGATTTGTATAAAGTATTTATTTTATTCACTGTTATAATGTGAATTTGTAATTTTAATCCTTGAGTTACATGTTTATAACAATTTTTTAATTGACATATAGTTGCACATATTTATCGTGTACAATACGGTGTTTCAGAGCATATTTACCTCATGGAATAGTTAAATCTAGCTAATTAACAAATGCATTACCTAATGTAGCTGTCACTTCTGGGGTGAGAACACTTTAAATGTCCAGTCTCTTTTTTCTGTTTTGTTTTTGAGACAGGGTCTTACTATGTAGTCCAGGTCAGACTTGAACTCACAACATAGCCCAGGCTGGCCTCCAATTTGATAGCCCTCTGCCTCAGCCTCCCAAGTGCTGAGATTGCAGATGTGAGCCAGGATGCCTGGTTAGCTTTGTACTTAGAACACAATAGTTATCATGCTGTTCAATAAAAAAAATATATTTTAAATGACCTATCAGTAACTGAAAGCAACTGGTAAGCAAAAGAATAGGAAGAGAACACATAGCTCTCAGGTCCTGAACAAGTTTAGCAAGGAACAAAGGGAGGACACAAGAAGGGGGAGAGCTATGTCCATGACTTTGCTATCCCGTTACTCCTTCTTCAGCTCCAAGCCACAGCCGCATCTCTACCACGTCACGGGATTTTTGCCCTCAGATCCAGTCTGAGCCATGTCCGAAAGCAGAGGATTCAGTTAAGGCACCAGAGGTTGGTGTGCTCAACCACAGACTGGGCAGGACAGGGCGTGGGCCATTATCCTTCCCTCCACTGGCCTTTGCTTCACCTCAGACAAGATTTGCAGGCTGCAAACCAGTGCTAGCTCCGGTACCACTGGCTTCAGGGACATTATGAGAACTTGCTCACTGTGAGAGCAAGACATCTCAGAACAGTCTCCATAATGTCCCCAAGTTGGTGAGTCTAGGGCTCCTGAAAGAATCTGCAGCCCGGGGCTAGGGATTTAGCTCAGTGGTGCCGCCACCTGCCACAAGCGCAAGGACCTGAGTTTGATACCCAGTACCAAAAAAAAAAGGAATCTGCAGACTGAGAGATGTGAGGAAGCAGATGAGAAGTCACCTTTCTCCGCAGCCCGGGGCTAGGGATTTAGCTCAGTGGTGCCGCCACCTGCCACAAGCGCAAGGACCTGAGTTTGATACCCAGTACAAAAAAAAAAAGGAATCTGCAGACTGAGAGATGTGAGGAAGCAGATGAGAAGTCACCTTTCTCCGCATCTCTGGTGACTGGGTGTGGGTGGGTGGGAAAGCAGTGGGACTTCAGGTTGGAGAGTCAAGGAGGCACATTCGATTCTAGTCTTGCCAGTAGGCAGAGGAATGGTTAAGATAACCGTGGAGGGCTCTGATGACACTATGCTGATGGAGGTATGATATGTGGTAGCCAACCTCCAAGATGGCCTCCATCATCTTTGCCCTGTGTAGTCCCCTCCCACATCGGATCTTCTTTGGTCGATGTGGCCAATAGAATATGACAGAAACAATGAGGTATCACTTCTGAGGCTTGCTCCCTCATGGATTACTCACTTTAGGGGAAGCCAGCAGTCATGTCACAAGGATAACACAAGTAACCTGTGACAAGGACCTGAAGCCACTTGCCACAGCCATGTGAGTGCCCCATCTTGGAAGCAGGTTCCCTGGGCCTGTTCAAGCTTTCAGATTACTGCAGCCCTACCTGATGGCTTCATTACAATCTTGTAAGATGCTCTGAGCAAGAACCACCCAACTAACCTACTCTTAGCTTCCTGCCCTGCAGAGTCTTTGAGGTGTGGAAAGATGCTGAGGTACAGGAAGAATTCTGTGAGGCTGGGGCTGGAGTCAAGGTTACCCCCTTCCTCCTTCTCACATTCTTTCTCATCTTCTCTTCTCCCTCCCACTCCACCTCCTCCTTCGGTGGTTCAGGTGGGAACCCTGAGTCCATGAAAGGAATCCTGCTTCAGATGGGCTCAGGTAGCCATCCATCACACCCCTCCACAATGAGACCCTTTTTGTCTTGTTGTATTTGAGAAAGGGTCTCAATATGGAGCCCTAGCTGGCTTCAAACTTATGATACTCTTGCCTCAGCCTCCCCAGTGCTGGGATTTTAGATATGTACTGTCATACCCATCATCGTGGTCTTTATATGGGGGAGAGGGGCTACACCTAGACCCTAACATCAAGGATGGAACTGATCCCAGGGCTGTTCACTACCTGCATGACCATTAACATTTCTTAAGGGCGATAAGCCAGCTTGGGGATACAACTGTGGTAAAAACAAACAAATAAAAAAATGAAGACAGTATAAAATTTAATGAAAATCTCTATTTATTTTAATGGCTTTTATGATGCAGAAGCCCTGGTTGTAAAATGAAGGCATAGGATACATGTGAGGAGTGCAGGGGATCCATATGGACCAGCATGTAGCACCCTTTATCATGTGACCAGGTAAATGCTATGAGGGGCCAGAAGGAGCTGGAGACCCACAGAGTGCTATGAGCAGGCAGGCAAGGGGGCAAAGCTGGGAAGAGATGCGCACACGCCACGTGTGAAGGCTTCATTCTTAATCACGTTCTAAACTAGGGTGACTGAGACACTCTTCATTGGCAACCAGGAATTAAGGATATGGGCATATTAAGTTAATAAAGCAGTTTGTACCTACACAGTTGAAAACACACACAGGCTAAACTATGTCACTGCCAAATTCTCTCGAACCATGACTATGAGTGTGATATCCTCTCACTCTAAGTTACTTAGGTCTAGAAATCCCAAGTTGCTGGGCGGACCTGGTTCAGTGGGTGCAAACTAGAGATTTGAGGGCCAGATTTAGCCTACAAGATATGTTTTCTTTGGCTCGAACTATGTTTTTTAAACTTGAAAGAGTTGCCAACATTTGAAAATACAGATTTCTAGCCTCTCATGAAAGACTGGTTGGAATATCTGGCAATGTGAGCCTTTATTCCCACGTGGCAGCAGTGTATCAGAAGCTCAGTGTTTCTACCTCACTAAAGACCTTACTGATTCCCTTTGCTCGTTTCTGTTTCTTGCCTGGCCCCTGTAGAGTTTGTGACCCCTGGTCTGTGGTGACCTCAGGGATTTTCTACTGGTAGCAGCTATGAGTTTAGCCTTGAGCCCTTCCCCTAACTCAGTGGCAGATACATCCACCCCAGGCCAGGAGTGCAGGAGTCCGATCCTGGTCTGTAGAGCTTTGGTTTGCCTTATGAGGCCTCTGACTTCACAGAGATGAGGAACAGAAAGCTTCCTGGCCACATTTCACTTTCATTCATTACTCCCAAAGTCCTCTGGGGAATGGCCCATCAGGGAGACACTTCCCAACCAAGGTCAAGGGTAGGTCACTTCTGGTCAGACAAGAAAACCCAAGCAAAGGAAGGAATTCCAGCCTAGGCTAGGCTGGGCCAGGGGGTTGGGGGGTTAGGGAGGAAGGCCAACTTCTCAGCCATGGCCATAAGACATGGCCAGGACATCTGTGCACAGCTGGCACATCCTGCAGGCTTAGAAACCGCCCAAGTCATTGTGTGAGCGAGCTTCCTCTAGATGTTCAGAGTGTGTAATCAGCCTGTGCTGGCCCTGGCACTGAGGAGGGAGGAAGAAACACGTGGAAGACAGCGAGGGAGGTATAATCAAGAAGGCTGTCCTAGCATAGATTCTACCACTTCCTTCCCAAGACTTCCGAGGGTAAGGACGAGAGGTAGCCAATTAAGACCCAAGACCTTGGCCAGAGGCTAGAAGCTGGGGAGGAAGACTAAGGGGAATGGCCTCAGTGACCCCTGGGCTACCTGCATACAACGTCTGTGAGATTTCAAGAAAAGCCAGAACCAGTCCCAAGCGGCAGGACTGGCCATGAGTTCTGTTTATGGAGCCCAGGATCCTCAGTTAACAGAGATAAACATCTGTACACACTTGTAGTGAGGAACACAAACAGGCCCGCACACATACAGTCATCAGCAGAGGTGCCAGAGCCATTACATATACCCACACAAACACTCATCCATGCAGCTTTTATCCTGTTGTACACATTTATGTGTGTGTCTCTATCCACAATCACAGTGGTTATTGGTGAGAGCAATCAGCTCATCACACATGTATGTTTAGGAAACATTTTCAGAGCACCTGAGGTCCTTTTTGGGCTGGCTAGAACTACCTGGCAGGGAGGTACAAACACAGCACCAAGTAATATAGGAGGAGAGACAAGTAATCAGTGAGTAAAAACACTAACCACAACCAACAGCTGGGTGCTGGCCTGCAGTGCCACCTACTGACAAGAGAGTTTTTTTCGCTTTCCTTCAAGACTGCAAAGCTCAGGACGCTGCTTCTCTGACACCGCATCCAGGGAAGCAGCCAACCACGGGATGCCATTCATTCCTCCTCCCTGCTGTGTTCCACCTGAGGCGGTGAGACCCTGGCATCCTTGGAGTTGCACCATAGCATCAGAGAATGGGCACCCGGGGCCTCATGTGCTTCCAGGAAAGCAATTCCCAACACCAAATAGGGGAGGCCAAACAGGGTCCATCGCCCATGCCTCCTTCAGCCAACTGGCAGTACTGCCTAGAGTGCTGAGTGGAGGGCTCTGAGGCCAAGTTGAGCCTTAGAAGAGAGGGCTATCCTCATGGAATAGCGCCGGCACTGTAGCTGTAGGTGGGACAGCTTCCGCACTTGCCATTTCTGCAGCAGATCCCGGAGCCTTCTGATCCACAATTGCATTGTGAGGGTATGTTTGTTGCTAACCGCCTCATGGCAAGAAAACTGCTGTTCCAACTTTTACTTGATCAATAGCTTCTGAGCCAGACAAAGCCCACCTGGGACCCTCTTCTTGAAGAACTTGTTCTTGCTTTCAGAGAGCACTTAAGGATGACTTGTTAGATCTGAGCTGCTGAAGTCAACGCTGGGCACTTCACTTTCTCCAAAACATATATTGAACACTCATCCACCTACCAGCACTGCTCACTGCCCAAGAGGTCCCACGAGGCCAATGACAAATTGAGAACACAAAGCCACACTGAGCAGACACCAGATAGCAAGCAGAGCTCATCCCTAGCCAAGGTTCCTGCTCCCTGCACATTCAGCCATCAGCTTGGAGGCCTTCTCAATTTGGCTCAAATCAAGTTCATGCATCAGCTAAATAGCAAATAACAATAGGTCATGAGGCACTAAAAACAGTCAAAACTTGGAATCTGATTCTAGTCAATTTATTTTTATTTTTGAGATAGAATCTAGCTATGTTGCCCAGGCTGGCCTCAAACCTGTGATCTTTCTGTCTCAGCCTGCTGAGTAGCTGGCTGTACAGGTGACTACAGCTTGGAATCTGAAATCCTCAAATGTCAAGCAAGGATCAGGCAGCCACAGAGCCTCCCAACCCTGCCCCCCAGCAGTGGAGTTAACACCTGTCCTCTACTGCTTAGGTGGTGGTGACCTGATTCATCTCACTGAGGTATGGGCCAGGGATCTTTGCCTTAGCCCAGGGGGCAATAAACTTTTTCTGTGAAGGACCGATAATAAATAGTTTTGGCCTTGCAGTCTCTTGCAACCATTCAGCTTTGCTGCAGTAGTTCTAGAGCAGCAGCTCAAAAACATGTAAACTAACAGAGACGGTATACTCCAAACAAATGGAGTACAGCTGGGCGCAGTAGCACACAGGTGTAATGCCAGCACTCAAGAGGCAAGTGAGAAATTGTTTGAGACCAGGGCCCTCCTGGAACACGCAGTGAGATTCTGTCTCAAAGGCAAACAAATAGCCGGGTACAGTGGCACTCACCTGTCATCCTAGCACTCAGGAGACTGAAGCAAGAGGATCCCCACAAGTTCGAGGCCAGCCTGGGCTACACAGTAGGTTCAAGGCCAGCCTGAACTGCATGGAGAGACCCTGTCTCAAAAACAAAGGACAAGCCCCCAAACAAGCAAAACAAAATAAAACATGCTGGAGGTCAAGTTTGGCTTAAGGGCTCCCAGTTTACCAAATCCCATATTAGCTCAAATTAGGGGTTTTCAAATTGGGCTCCACAGAACTTGGGGTTGTTTGGAAGTGCTTCGGGGAATCTGCAAACGGTTGGCTCTAATTGAAGTTGCTTTTAGCTACTTAGGAAGCTATAACCAGTGTCCCCATCCAGCATTTCAACACACCTGTGCAGTACCGAAGAACCTAGTCGCAGCATCAGACAGACACGACTTGGAGTCCCAGCACCACCACTTACTAGCTGGGTGGCTTTGAACAAGTTACTCTAACTCCCTAAACCAGCATGGTGAGATGGCACCAAATAGAGTGGACACTAGCCATGGTGCTGGTGCAGCCTTGGGAAGATGGAACATTCACAGCAGAGGGGCCAGGGCAGCAGAGGTCACAAAGGACACTTAGGGCAGGGCTATTTACCAACTGGTGCAGAGGTATTTCTCAGTGCTTCAGTGATCGGTTTTGCAGTATGGGTGCACACTGACTATTGTTACCATGTTGAATCCATCTTGGATTTGAGCTTGTTTTTTTTTTTTTTTCCTAGCATGCATGTTCCATTACACTCCCACTGCTCTGATTGGGCTCTTGGATAGGACAGGGGGCTGTTTTGCGATGATCTGAGCAGACTCAGTGCTTAATAACAGGGCTTCTGTTCATCTGGCAGTTCCACTGGGTCTGGGACTCTGATGGCAAGCACTTCCTGGGACCAGTGTTCTGCAAGACCTGGGTGTTTTCAGCTAAATGGGTCCAGTGTTCTGGAAGCTGTGGCCCCTCTGCCCCAGTGATGTAGTCTGAGGCTGGGCCTGGGGCTTTGTTGCTCATCTGGCTTTTTTATGTCCTGGGGACCCTGGGCCCTTCCTCAGCACTTGAGACCACCAGAAGGACTGTCTGGCTGCCTCCAAAGCCTGCCTCCAAGACATCTGCCTTTTATGCCAGTTTCTCAAAGCTGCTTTCCAGGCTCTGGCTGTTCATCTGTGGTTTCAGTAATAGAATTTGGACCTTTAGTGTCTCCCTGCTGCCCAGGGCTGTCTACATCCTTTAATGGTGGCTCCACTGAAATCCACAGCCCTCACTGCCCCTTATCTTTCTGTCCCCAACATCATATCTTCCTGCTTCCTGAACCAGCTGAAAGGTTCTATGGTGTTCATCCCTAGGCCCTGGCACTGGACCTCACAGGTCCCAGAATCCCTGGAGTTCATCTCAATGAGGTGACAGCTGGTATTGCCCTCAGAGTGCACAGGTCCACTCTGTGAGCTTGGGCCGTGCCTGTCCTTGCAGGTTTCTTACAGCCACTTTCTCTGTAAGCTCTAGAGGTTCCTCCAAAGGGGCGAATGTGATCCTGACAGCAGGGGGAACACAGACCTTCTGTGTGGTTCAGGCAAGAGGAAGATGACCTTGAGACTGAGATCTCTGTCTGTCTGTCTGTCTGTCTCTCCCCCTCCCTCCCTTGTCATTTCCTTGCAGCTGTTCTTAGGTTGCACAGTATCTCTGGGCTGAGTGCTCAGGAGGACAAGGGCTGGGCTGTCCAGGTTACCCCGCACCCCATGCCTCTAGGCTCTTGTCCCTTGGAGGATGCCCTTGGCTTTCTTCACAAAGTGCTCACTCACAGCTAGAATGCTTGCAGGAGCCAGGCAGCTGGTGTACACACAGGTGTCTTCTTGCCCCTTCTTGGTCTTCCTAGGGGATCAGCCATCGTGCTTCTACTTTTCCTCTTCAAGAGCCAGGGCTGTTCAGCAAAGAGGAAGGGAGGCTGGTCCATCAGGACAGGAGTGCTCTCTGGGAGGTGGGAAGAAGGTGCTCCTGCAAGAGTGGAGGAGTCACTGGTGCTCTCAGGGACAGAGCTCATGGCCTCTACAGCAGCTCTGACTCACTATCCACAGTGGGAGAATTTTGCTACTGTGCATTCAGCAACTTCCTGTCTGAGCCATCAGTGCCTCAGTTCCTTTGATTTCAGATTAGGCCTCCGGACACTTCCCACTTTACTCAGGCAGCGCCTTACCTCTGGGCTCAGGCTACACAACTGCCCATTCACACACTGGGCTTTCTCTCCTCTATGTCGGGGGCCACAGATTCTCCCTTCTTTCTCCACTAGCAGAGCTGCCCAAGAGCACAGCAGGATGCCATGACTGGGGGATTGAGGGCTGAGTTGGGGGTTGGCTGGCAGAACAACTGAACTTTGGTTAAAAGCTTAGGCAAAAGGAAACCTTTCCTTGGCAGCCACAAAATCTTCTCCCCAGAAAGAGCCTGCAGTGCCCCCTGTCGGCCAGAGGAGAATTTGCACGAAGGCTAACTCTCTCCTAGCTCCTTTCCACAAATCTTGCACTTGGCCACAGAATCACGATAGCTCAGGTCAGAATATCACAGGAAACAAGTTGTCCTGTCCAGTGATTTGCAAACATGGAAAGTTATAGATAGGCATTTGCCCATTTGACAAAAGCCTTTGGGCTGAGGGGTGAGTGGGGCTGAAATCCAGCCTGTATCTTGCTAATGAGGGTGTGTAACCCGGGATGGGACTGGGTCAGGCCAGAAGAGGGGCTGTCTTTTTCCCTCGAAGAGTGCCCTTCTGTAATCTGCACAGCTGCCATGCATACAGCAGCCCTGCACAGAATGCCTCCTTCAAAGGGCCATCTTATAAAAACCAAGCCTGGCTGGCTAAAGGACGGTTTAAAAACTACCTAAAACATAGGGAAACTGAGGCCCAGGAAGGGGAGATACTATCCAAAGTCATGCTTTTCTTGTGAAGGCAGAGCTTGGACATCAGACTCGCCCTCTCTCACAGCAGTGTTCTTTGTACTACACTGAGCTAGTTTCTATCTCAGGCTCCTTTTGAGGCATCCGGGCTTCTTGGACCCTTCCACCCTCAGTCCCAGCAACTTCTCCCTGAAATTCAGCTATTCTGCACTGTCCTACTGTCCCGGCCAGGATCATGGCACAGTGTTTACCCTAAAGGAGGGAAGGTGAGAATCCTGGCCCAGTCTGTGGCACTTCCTTCAAGAACCACACTCAGAGGGATGAGGGCAGGCATGCGGGAGGGCAGGACGGTGAGGAACTAGGAGGTTCACCAGACAAAGATCCTAGAGCAGACAGCTCAGCTACTGTGCAGTTGGAGCCTGCTTTGGAGGTACAGTTTGCTGGGGTGTCTGTGCTACACCATAAGGCACATGGGCGGCCACAGTGCCCATCTCCTGAGCCCCAGCCACATGGAACATCTGGTCATCAAAGAAGATGTGTGGGCGGATCTTCTCAAGGAGGGGGCCCTTAGGTGCTCCAGCTAGGAACAAGGCCTCATCTGTCTCTAGGCCCCAGCTGCGCAGGGTCTTGAGGGCTCGAGCCCCGGAACTGGCTGCACTGCGTGCTGTCACTAAGTAGGTGCGAATTGGGCACTCCAGCCGCAGGCCCTTGGAGTAGAACTTCTTCTGCAGCCTACCCAGGGCCTCCAGAAAGCCCTTTAGGGGGCCCTATGAGAAAGCAAGGGAACACAGTAAGCTCCTCTCCCAAACATTTGGCCCTCTCCCAAGAACATCAGTGTCCTCCTGTTTGGGGTTAAAAAAGCTTCTCAGGACCCCTAATTTCTGTGGCAGTTCTGCTACATTTGCTTGGGCTCCCATGTGCACCAGTAGAGCCACAGAGACCTGCAGTCTGTGGTCTGTTTTACTGTGATTTGGGCTGTGTTAGAATAACCACAGCAGGGCAACCGTTGCTATGCACAGCCATCCGTATCCCAATGTGCAGGGGTCAGCACTTCTCAAAGTGTGGCCTTCTGCAGCCACCAGCAGGGAAGATAATAAAATTAGTCACTATGGCGCATGTACCCTCCAGTCAGCATGAACTCCAGCCATAAACATGTGGGCATATGAGCCAATGTTTAGCTGCTGAATACAAACCTGCTCATGGACACAGGTGGCTCAGGTTTCTGGCCTAAGCTTTCCAAGGTCAAGGAAAGGTGTGTGTTTTGTCTCTATGGTGTCCAGAAAATGAAGCTTAACAAGCACATGTGAGCAAAGAGCCAGATGGTGATGAAGAAAAGGCCCGATATATCTCAGGAGGGCAACTGGAAATAAGGAAAGGTGGGTTTCTTGTCTTGGAGACCAGTTCCTTGCTGGGTGACCTGGAGCCGGGTGTGGTTTCTTCAGCCTCTGACAACCACTTAGTGGGAAAACTATGGCCCTGACTGCCTAGATTTTTGTGCAAAACTTGAATTAGAACTCCTAGGAGAGCTGGAAAACCACACAGAGCCACCCCCAGGGAATCTCCACCAAGCTCCAGGACACTTTCCACTCTCAGAGAGGCACTGAACAGTGCTCGGGTGAGTGAGGGTCCCTGAGCCCCCTGACCAAGGCATGGCCAGAGGTGGCCCAAGCAAAGGGTCTGCTCCAGCCTCCACCCCTGGCAGGATCTCCCTGCCCAGTGCAAGTGCCCACCCAAGTCTTCCTGTCCTTCAGGGAGGGACGCAGGGGCTGCTGGAGGGATGAGAGATTCTTAGGGGGTGGTGCATCCCAGAGAAGGAGTGAGGATTCCAGAGACAGGACAGTGGCTTCAGAAAGAAAGAGGAGTCAGACAAAGGGTGGGGGCTAAGGAGAGAAGGAAGGCTTCAGAGAAGGGATGGAGACCTCAGAAAGGGGACTGGAGCTGCCAGGAGGGAGAAAGGACTCCAGAGAGGGGCTCAGAGAGGCAATGGAGGCTTCACAGTGGGGGGGAGGACTTCAGTGAAGGGGAAGGGGCCCCAAGGAGGGGAGCCAGGGTCCAGAGAGAGGGATGAGGGCTAGAAGCTTGTTAAGGGGATCCAGCAGGAATCTGGGTTGACCGTGGGTTTGGTTCTGGGAAAGAGGTATGTCAAGGTCTATGTGGATTACCTGGGCCAAAGGTTTGTTCTCATGGGCCTTCTCGTGCTCAAAGAACCTGTCCAGCCCATGGGCCTTCACGATGCGCTCTGACTCATCCGAGAAGAGTACAGCATCCCCATCAAAGGCCACACGTAGCTGGGTCTGAGACACAACCACGTCCTTGCTGGGGCTGAAGATGGTGGCAGCTGCAATCCCTGGGCAGAGGGAGGCAAGCATTGTCTGCCTTCAGGCCAGGCAATAGAGCCCCCTGCCTGGGTACAAGAGAGGGCAATCTCAGTCTGTCCCTCTCCCAGCTGCTTCTTCAGGACTCAGGGAAAGGCTGATGAAGGCCAGTGTTAAAATTATTTAAAAACCAGCAGTGTGCATGGACACTGGCCATAAGAATGGACAGGCGCTGGGCATATTGGCACAGGCCTATAATCCCAGCTCTTGGAAGGCTGAGGCAGGAGGATTGCCATGAGTTCAAGGCCAATCTGGGCCATGTAGTAAGTTCAAGGCCAGCCTGAACTACCTTGTGAGACTTTGTCTCAAAAAAAACCCAAAAAAGGGTGGAAGCCAGAGTTTTGAGGCAGGGCTTTAAAGGCCCTTGCCTGTGCCTGGGTCACCCCTTAAAATGATGCTTTGTGGAGAGGTCTGGGGGAGTCCTTGGGGAAGGAGGACATTTAGGGGGCTAAAGGCAGTAGCTGCTCACCAACCAGTGTGAAGGAGTCTGTATTTTACTACCTAGGAAGATCATGCTGGTGAGGACTAGCAAACAGCAGTCCTGGTAGAAGGGTCCCCTAGGCCATGGCTCTCGTGCTCAGAGATTCTGATTTTGGCAAGTCACTGACCTTGGGGCCAAGGTGAAATTCAGGACCTTTCAGCTCTGTGTGAGCCCCTTCTAGCCGCAGTGGTAGCCAGCTACGCCCTACTCAGGGCAGCCTGCCCACTCAGGGTTCCATGAGACAATGCGGGCGGCCCTGTGAGGCAGCATAGCTACATCTGACTGTGCACAGATTCTCTAGCCAGGGCTCCACAAGGGGCAAGGACACCTGCTGGGGACCAGGCTCCAGCTGCACCGGACGGCAGAGTGCCTGGCAGCTGGCTGAGTCTGTTCCCTGTCTTCATCTCTCCCCAAAGGTCGCTTCTGCCCTGCTCTTAGGGAATTCAGGTGGGGCCTCTACCAAGCTTTGAGAGGAGAGAGAGGTACAAGCCTCTTGGGAACTTCCCTAGCTCGAGGATGACAGGCAGGACCTGGCCATGAGCATCAGGCCAGGCACCTTCTCAGCCATGCCAACCCAGAGCCACCCTATGGTCAGCAGGGCTCCCACTCAACCACAGCCCCACTCTCTGATGGAGGCCAACTTGCAGACACACAGAGGGACACCTACACACCAGGGCCCAGGCCCCAACCAAAGGATGTGACATCTGCTCAGGCAAATGGCTTCTGGGTTCTGGTGAAAGAAAGCCTTGTAGAGCTCTCAATAGATCAGGAGAGTGAGGCACTGGGGGAGTGGCCAGGCTTCCGGGTAGGAGACAACATGAAAGAGGCAGAGAAAAGTGGCATATTGTCACTAAAGTTCAGCCAACGAGCCTGCTCAGGCAGTAGGGCTGTCCTTCTTCCTCCGTGGGCCTGTATACAAGGGAATATGCACCCCGACAGGAGGACTGTGACTGTGGCTGCCATTCAAAGCTGCCCCTTGGAAAGGCACGTGGAGGGAACTTCTCTTTATCAGTGTTTGAAGCTGGGTCTCCGAACCTCACTGAAATGCTGGCCAGCCCAGCTTCTGGAAATATTGCCCATTTCCCAGAGCCCATCACTCAAGCTGGGCCAGAGATGGTTCCCTCTTCCCATTGGCCTAAGAGAGAGGCAGAGGCTACGTTCACCCTACGTTCACCCAGGAGTCACAATTCCTACTGACCTGGAGGAATTGCAGAAGGAAGTTGCTTTCTGAGCTATAAGGAGGGTTCCCATGGAAACAGAAAGCTGGATGATGTTGATGAGTAAATGCATCCTTAACCCAGTGAGGCAGGAAGTGGGAAGGTGAATGGGTAGGGCCTTGTTTTCAGAGTTTATAAGAAAGATCACAGGAATGTTTCCACAATTCTCCTTCCAGTTACCACAGCAACTCGCAGCACCTGTTCAGAGATGTAGGACCAGGCCTCCTATCTCCAGGACCCTGTTGCTGAACTTTTTGTATTCTCCCTCCTCATTTTGACTTACCCTCATCAATGGCTTCTCGCACTTTTCCCGCATCAGCTGACAAGTAGAGGTTGGTGTGATAGGCCTTGAGGTAGCAGATGGGGCTATTCCCACCTGTCATGCAGAATCTCTCAATGAATAGATCTAGGGAGGAGGTAGAGAGTATCCAGGTGAGGTCAGGGCCAACCTTAGGGCCCTAGAATGACCTCTCTGTACCTAACAAGTGCCATCTTGGAAGGGGGCAGGCAACAGAGGGATTCTCTGTGATTTTAGGCCAGTGTTGCTCCTCTGGGTCCCTTCATTCTTCACCAATGAGATGGGAATGATCACATCTCTGGGAGCGGCTGCCTGGCTCACAGTAACCCCCTCATCTCAGGGAATCACATCAAAAGATGGGTCCTCTGGCTATGACTGGTGACCCTGCTTCCTGGCACAGCTGATTGGGTAGGGGCAGACCCTGCCTCATCCAACTGAACCAATCAAATTGTCTTCCAGCCTGGGCTGACAGGCAGTAGTCCCCATGGCAGCACAAGTTGTGAAATATTTGCTGGTTGATATATAGCTGCTGTTCTGAGCCCACTGAATTATCCAGGATTCTGACCTCCCCACAGTCCACAACAGAAGGGGGTGGCACTATATGTGGTGTCTGTCCCTACTGCTCAGCACCTGTCACACAGGCAGTCAAATATTTTTGATATCACCACCCATCCCAGGAGTTTAAAATTAGTATTAAAAAATGGCAGCTGGCAGGGTAGAGGAGGAGCTAAGTGGTAGAACACATGCTTAGCATGCATGAGATCCTGGGTTCAATCCCTAGTATTCAAAATAAATAAATAAAATTAAGTCAACTAAACTCTTCTCTGGTGCTTAAAACAAGGTCTTATAAACCTTTATAAAACAGGTTTATTTTTCTGTCTGTTGCTCCCCAAACTGGATTTCTTTGCTTTTTTTGGTCTTAGTTTTATATTCAGAAAAGCAGAGAAATCCAGTTTGAAGAGAGATTGGGGGGGGCAGGAATGAACTTGCTAAAGAAACACAAATAAAGGCCCATGTTGCTCAAAGGAGAGAAGAGCCCCAAAGATGTTTCCAGTACTTGGATTCAGGCCTTTGTGGGTCCAACTTTACCTCCTGCCCCATGGAGCTGAGAAGCCTCGACCCAAGGAGGAACTCTTCTCAGCTGAAGCTAGCTCTGTAGGGTCCACCCCTGCAGTGTCCAGTTTGGACTAAGACACAGAAGCCTTCACTCTGCCAACTGCCTCTGACTCTCCCAGCAGCCTTGTGAGGCCTGTCTGGCCTATCACAGGAAGGGAGGTGGAGGCGCAGAGGCAGTGAGTGGCCTGCCCAGTCGCGCAGGGAGTGGGCCCTGTGCAGTGTGTGCTGCAGCTGGTTTGTAAGAGCTGATGGTTAAACATTCAGGGATTTTGTGAGCTTGTTATCTTGTTCAGCCATGTAGACCTATTCATACCCTGCAAACTGATAATGCTTCAAATCAGAGTTTTGTTCATTTGGTTTTTTAAAGGGCCAGTTTACCAGCGCCCACCCCCAGGGGGTGTGGGAGGGGCTTCCCTTGGCCAGACCCTTCATGCTCACCGTAGTGGTTGATACTGTTGATGAGGCGGACTCCCACTTGAGCGTGGTTGTTGGTCATGAGGACAATGTCAAAGATGTCCTCGCTATCGGGGTACAGCTCCCGGAGCCGCCTGTTCACAGCCTCCAGGGCCTGGAAGGGAGGGGAGAGGGCACCCTCTAGCTCTGACTTCCCAGGATGGACACTGGGAGTTGGGAGGCAATGAGAGGTGGGGGTGGGGGCAGGCTTGGGATGAGCTCGGGGCATGTGTACTACCTCCTCATGCCATCAGGGGGTGGGGGTGGGGGCACTCATTGCTCAGGGGCACCTCACTGTAGAGGTGAGTGGGGTTACCTGGGAGAGCTGCATCATACCAGAGGAGGGGTGACCTCTTCTTCCCACAAGGGCTGCGCCCCCCAGCCAAGCCTGGCCCTCTCGGAGTTGCACTGCCCAGAGGGGAATTCTCTTACTCAGATATCCACAGGGATGCTTTTTTCTCACCCTACCAAGGCACACAGTGGGCTGCTGCTGGAGCTGCTTCTCACCTTCACAAAGGGGAAGGCTGGCCCAGGGCTGAAGGGCTCATTCTCATGCTCCAGCTGGTAGCGTACGTACTCCTCCACGCCCTGCTCTGTGTAGATCCTCTGCTCCTCGTCCATGCGGAACAAGGCCCGGGAGGACACAGCAATGGTGACTGCATTCTGAGGCTTGGGCTGCAGAGGTGCAGGAGGAAGTGACTCAGATGCTCCCTGGGGCAGGTGCTCCTGTGCAAGCCCCTCTGGGAACTGGGGCCGAGGCAGAGGATGACTCCCTACTTAGAAGTGTGATCCAGAGGAGGGACATGCCCTTAGGGAGTTTGCAATTTAGGTGGCCATCTGGACACAAAGGAGAAATGAATACAAGGTACATGGCTGAAGTATGACTGATGCTTGAGATGATCTCCAGATGGTTCCATTAAGAAATGAGAGCCACATGCCCTTAGGAAGAAACTGGTGCCCCGAAACATGGCAATCACATAAGAAAGTTTATCTCCTGCCCAGATCTGTCTCCTGCACTCCAGACTCACATATCTAACTGCTCCAGTCAACTAACAGACATCAATCTACCACGCCCAAGGCTGAATTCCCACCACTTTCTCCACCCTCAAACCCAATCCTCCCCCTTTCCCTCATCTCAGGACTCAGCACCACTATCCACCCACCCAGACCTCCACCGGATGAGTGGACAGCACCACTATCTGCACAAGCAGCTGCCCGGAAGTCCCCTCAACACCCCCTTCTTCCAGACCCCCTTCCCCATCAATCATCACCCAGACCAGTTCACACCAGCCGAGTCCATCCGCTTCTTTCTGTTTTGCTTTCCATAGTTCAGGTCATCCTCATCTTTCACCTCCTCCGCTTTCCCACCCACGCTGCTGCCAGAGGATTTTTGTAAAGTGCAGAACTGCTTGCAGCCCACCTCTTCAGCAGTGCCTGCTCTTCTCAGAGCAGTCAGCAGCCTGTATATGGAGCTGGAAGCCCTTCACAACAGATCCCTACTTCTCTTTTTCCTCTCAGCTTCCCCTTCCCCAGCTTTGTTCAATCAATCCGACCTTTCTCACATCTGTGCACATCTAGCCCCTCTTTCTCTGAGTCTTTGCACATGACGTCCTCTTTCCCCTAATATGCTGTTTCCTGTTCTACCTACCCTGTTAACTTCTACTTAACCTTTAGCTCTCAAATTAGATTCACCTCCAGAAAGCCCACCCTCACCACTGTCTCCACTTGATACCCATCCTATGGATTTCCTCCTTAGTACAGTTTAATGTTAAATTAGAATTGTTGAACTATTTCTCTTTGTAGGCAGAGTTCCAGGGAGGAAGCAGGAGACCTGCTCAAGTTGTGAGAAAGCAGAAACCATGTGTATCCAGGTCCTTATTGTATCTCTAGTTCTTAGTACTATCCTCTGCACAGAGAGGCACTCAGCAAAATTTTAAAGCCTCTGGACTTTTAAGATATTCCAGTATACATTTAATATATTTCATGATAAAGTAAATGCAATGACAAACAACACAAAATAGGAACTCCAGGGTGGGGTGGGGCCCTCCCTCAACTGTTCAGATTAATTGACATATATATATAGCAGGTGCTCAGAGAATGTCTGTTTTGGTTGGTGTAAATTTGACAAACATTTATTGATTCTTTGTGTCAGGCACTGGAGAGCTGGTTGTGGCCCTTGGAGTTCACAGGCTGGTGGAAAAGACAGGGAAACAGAGAACTACCTCAGAGACAAAGGCAGAAGCAAGGTCTTGATACAGCTTTGGGGGGAGTTGTCAGAGGAGAGGAGGCCTTTGAGTGGAACCTTGGAGGAGGAGCAGGGTGATGGAAGGGAGAAAGAGGTGGCTGCAAAGGTAAGCAGAACCCAAGGGATATAGAGGAGGGTGTAGCTGAGCCAGAAGGGTAGGCAGGTACTCAATTGCAAGGGGCCTTCTCAGGGACCCAAGAGGGCCTTAGAACTCCTTCCCCACCACTGTCTGTGTCCCCGTAAAGTGTATATATTGAAACCTGGTCCTCAAGGTGGTGGTAAGACCTGGGACCTGTAAGGAGTGATTAGGTGGTGATGAGCTCAGTGCCCTTATAAAAGAGGCACCAGAGAGCCTTACTCACCCACTCCACCATGTGAGAACACGGCCTGAAAGTGCCATCTTTAAACGAGAAAGAGGTCCTTCATCAGACACTGATCTTCTGGGGCTTTGATCTTGGGTTTCCTTTCTCCAGAAATCTTTAAACCAGAAAGAGGTCCCTCACCAGACACTGATCTGCTGGGGCTTTGATCTTGGGTTTCCTTTCTCCAGAAATCTTTAAACCAGAAAGAGGTCCCTCACCAGACACTGATCTGCTGGGGCTTTGATCTTGGGTTTCCTTTCTACAGAAAATACACTTTTGTTGTTTACAGTATAAGCCACCCAGGCTGTGGCACTTTGCTATAGCAGCCTGAAGGGACTAAGACACCCAGCTCTGATGGAACAAGGAGAAGCTCGAGCCACCCTGCACAACAGCTGCACCTTTTCTAATGCCTGGGGAGGATGTAGGTACACAAGGGACTTGTGGATTCCAAGAAAGTCCCACCAATCCCTGTGACCTGGCAGTCCTAGGATCATGATTCTTACTTTACAGATGGGAGAGGGGCTCAAATGGAGGCCAGGACTCATAAAAGGGCCTTGCTTTCTGGCCTGCTTCTGAGGGCCTTGTGAGCCACTTGCCCGACCCCACTGCTTCTTTTGGGCGCCAAGCCTGGGCTCCAATCAGTTCACAACATTGAAGAGCTACCATGTGACAGACACCATGCTGGGGACACAGCAGGAAACAGTGCCGGTTTGATCCCTGCCCCCATGAAGCTCACAATCCACCCCTAACACAGGTGGGTGCCATTCTTCAGAAAGCACTGTCCACTGGAACTTCTGTGGTAACGGAATGTTCCACAATGTGTGAGACTATGAAGCAACTTGAGATGTGATTAGTGAGACTGAAGATCTGATTTCATCTGATTTTAATGAATTTAAATAGCTACATAGGGCCAGAGGCTAGTAAGCTTTAGAACCTTAAAATAGAAAGGGAAATGTGAAGAATTCCCTAAGGGTTGGTGGCTGACCCCAGTTTACATTTGGGTTTTGACCCCAAGCAAGATGGCGCATGTGGCCAGCAGGATCAGTGCAAGGGAGTGGTGGAGCAGGAACTCTTCCCCTGAGACTCAGCCCAAATACCTCACCCAAGTGCTGACCGTGACTGTGTGTCTGTGTGTCCTTGGGCTGGGCACCTCCCAACCCCATCAGCACCTGGGGGCCTTCAAGCAAAGAGGCTAAAATCATAAGCCCCAAAGAAAAAGGGTGACAGAGTGATGGCCAAGGAGGGCAAGGGTGGGGTTAGAGGTGAGGAGATCCACTCCCGTAAACCCAGGAGGCGGGTGGATCTCAGACAGGCTGAGCTTGTCATCTTCTACCTGGCCTCCTGGGGTTACTGGCCCGGGACAAGCCCATCCTCCCTCCTCAAGGACAGAGAGCCAGTTGCTCTCCAGACCCTTCAGGCAGGTTCCCAAGCCTGCTGCTCCAGCCCAGGAAGTCAGTCAATGTCTCTCTCTCCACTTTCTGTCCCACAGTACGTGCCTGACTGCTGAGTCCTGGGCCCTCTCTGGCTGAGATACCCAGACCTGAGGCCCCCCTATCCTGGCACATATAATAAAAATGTCTTGGCTGCCTTGGCCCCAGGAGTCTTTACTTTCTTCTTTTACAGATGGGGAAATAGACCCAGAAGGGGAAGATATTACTCTACATCATTCAGCAAAGTCAAGGAGAGGCGATACAAGATCTTGGGTCTCTGCCTTCCAGCCTGGACTCTGTCCACACAGCAGCCACCTGCTATGGGCCTCCTCAAGAGCTGCCAGAAGACTCCAGCCTCTGTTCCTTCAGCGACCTCCCCAGCCTTCCTGTCCAGATTTGGGAGCAATGGTGAGAAGCACCAGGCTCTCTGATTGTGCTGTCGCAGAGCCTGGCACTCTTTCCTCCCAGGATGGAGGGGAAAGGAAGGACCCTGCCTTTGCTGAGACTTCTCTGACACAGCACCAGTGAAGGTGAGCTGAAAGGCCTAGAGAATATGGGCCGCTGAGGGACTTTGGATCCCAGCTGGGATAGATGAATGGCTGTCCAGGCTCTGAGGGATCGAGGGAACAGGTGAAAGGAGCTGGCCGGAGCTGGGAGAAGCTGAGCCATAGGGACCCTCTTGTGCCTGGCTGGGTGTCTATCACTGGGCCATGTATTGTCAGGTGCACCAAGACCAGAGAGGAGCCCACATCCCAGACTGGGAATTGGGTCAAATCAACCCAGGGGCTCAGCTTGGGAGAGCTGGGGCCCAGGAAGCCAGGGTCCTGCCAGCTGTCTGCCTTGCCCTGGGCTGAGGCCCAGGCTGATCACTCCGGCTGGGAGGAGGGGATGGAAGAATAACGGCGGGAGCCCAGCCTTCTTCGTCCTCCCCTCTGCCCCCTGATGAGCTCCCATCCCTTTCAGACCAAAATGATTCTGCCTGCTGCATCCACGATAGGAACATAGCCCAAAAGCTGTTATTTCTGGACAGACTCAGAGAGAGAAGGACTGCTCGGGGAGAGAGGGACAGGACAGCTCTGGATGGAGGAAGTCCTCTGACCCTATGATGTGAGGGCCTCCACTGGGTCTTCACTCAGTTAAATATTTTACTCAGGCTCCTGGGAATGAGAACAACACCAGGCCAGGCCCTGATATGGCCCATGAGGCCTACAGCCCCCAAAATAGCCTTGGGAAGGGGCTGGCTGCAGGAAGGAACAGGAGCCAGAAAGCCTCCAGGTTTCTTGTGTCCCAAAGAACTGTGAGGGTCAGGGGCTGGCCAAAGGGTCATGTTGTGACCAGTGGCTGGGCCTGAGCTCCCTGCTATCTTGGGGGGAAAAGGATTTTGAACCCCGAAGCATTCACTATCACAGTCTCCAGGGTCCATCTCCTCCTCTCCATTCCTCAGGCCATGGCATTAGCCCAGCTCTGCCTTCTCACTAGTACACCTATGCCAGGGCCACCCATTGCAATCCACCCTCACTAACAGCCAAGTGTAATCTTTCTACAATGAAAATGGCGCCAAGTTAATCCCCTGCTGGAAAATCCTGCAATAGCTCCATGATGGTTTTCATGTTAATTTTTTAAAGTAGGTTGAGCTTTCATTCAGATGACTTCTTAGGCAGAACCCCAGTATGTAAACCAGATATTACCATATATAAGTGGTGTATCTATTTTACAAATTCAGAAGTATGTTATAAATAAATGTATTACAAAGTCAACCACTGAAAACAACACAAATTGTTGTTTAGATGACCACAAATTTGAAACTAGTACAGTCTTATGCTTCAGCATCCAGCTGATTTATTTTTGTTTGGTTTTGCATAGTATTGAGAAAGGTCCTAATTCACTTTGAGAAATAGTTGCAAATGGGAAGAGGTTTTTTGTTTTGTTTTGTTTTAAATTACAAGCCCTGCAATCCTGCGATGCTCTTCTATTAAATGAATCACAGGAAAAGCTTTATTTTGGGCTTTGCTAAAAAATAATCTTCACCACAAGTTAATGTTAGTGGTCTCCAAGGTGCTGAAATGTTCAACGAACACTTTTGAATATAATTGTTTAAAATATAATTTGGTTCCTGAATAGAATACCAATGGCACAAGAAATAATACTGAAAATCAACAAATGGGATCACATCAAATTAAAAAGCTTCTGCACAGCAAAGGAAACAATCCACAGAGTGAAGAGACAACATACAGAATGGGGAAAATATTTGCCAGCTATTTCTCAGATACAGTACTAACATCCAGAATATATAAAGAACTCAAACAAATTAGATCCTTCACATAAAAGACCCAGTCAAGAAATGGGCAACCAAAATGAATAGACACTTCAAAAGAAGTAAAAATGGCCAATAAACACAAGAGAAAAAAAACCACATTGTTGGTCACTAGGTAAATGCAAATTAAAATAACATTGAGATTCCATCTTATTTCAGATCGAATGGCTATCATCAAGAAATCAAATAATTGCTGGTGAGGCTGGGGATGGGGAGGAACTCTTCTAAATTGTTGGCAGGAATGTACAACCATTATGGAAATTAATATAGAGATTCCTAAAAAAACTAAAAGTAGAAATTCCATTAGACCCAGCTATTCCTCTTCTAGGTATCTTGCTGAAAGAGTTAAAATCATTATATTTTACAGTTATACACGCATACATGTATTTATAGCAGCACAATTTATAATAACCAAATTTTGAGGATCACCTATGTGCCCATTGACATGAATGGATAAAGAAAATGTGGTATTTCCACATAATAGAGTACTACTCTGCCATAAAGAACAATAAACTTGAGTCATTCATAGGTAAATGGATGCACCTTGAGACATATTATTAAATGAATCAGACACACAAGCTTAAATATCCCATAGTTTCTCATATTGAGAAACCCAAAATATAAATAAAAAGCAAAATAAAAGATAAATAATAGGAAGTAGGGAGACCTTTTTCAAATGGGAAGGAGAACAATGGATGGAAGGAGGAGAGAGGGAAGAGAGGGAAAGGGGAGAGAAAAATAAAGAATTTAAAGAAAATGGAACTGGGTCTATTGGCACCTATCTGTAATCCCAGCACTTGGGAGGCTGAGGCAGGAGGATCACTGCAAATTCGAGGCCAGCCTGGGCTACATAGTGAGTTCAAGGCCAGCCTGAACTACATAGTGAGACCCTGTCTCAAAAACAGAACAATAACGAAAGAAAGAAAGAGAGAAAGGGAAATAGAACTTTTGCAAATGGGAAGGGGACCAAGAGTTGGAAGGAGCAGAGAGGAATGCGAGGGAAGGGGATGAAAGATGAATTAAGATCTGTTATGTACATGTACCAACTCCCCATGATGAATGCAATCATTATTACAAGCATCTACTAATAAAAATAAACTTAAAAATAAAAGTATATAACTGGAAGAAGAAAATAAATTGGGTTCACATGTCTACAGACCCACTGAAACATGGGTTCCACCAAACCTAGTTTGAAAACCTCAACCCCCCACTGAGAAGGTTTAGGCCCCTTAACAAGCCACTGGTGGTGTCCAGTAGTGAGGTGTTCCTCATCCCTTCGGCTCTCCCCTAACAATCCTGCCTTCTCCCACTCAGTACTGATTCCCTAACACAGTCGTCATGTTCTTCACCCTTCGTTTCCCTCTGCCTGGGAAACCCCACCTACTGAGGCATTAAGGTCAGTTTGGAGGCTGTTCTCCAAGGCCCTCCCTGGTGGGCAGTCATTCCTGCTCTGTGTTTCTTCTGTGGCACGGAGAATCTTTTACCTGGGCATCCACCTTCTCTAGAGCCTCCCTTGGTGCACTGTGACCTCCTGAGACAAGGGTACCAGCTTAATTAATATCTCAATCCCTGGTGAGCCCAGGCCTGGAGGGGCCCCAGGAATGACTGTTCACAGGTGGGCCTCCTAGGGAAGCAGTGAGGTGCTTGAAGGCCAGACTGGAGATCTTTGGCGGCTGCCTCAGGGCCAGCCTCGGTCCTCAGTTCCTTCCCCAAGCTCTGAGATCTGGAAAACCGGAGTGAGCAAGCCCAAGGGCAGCCTGGAACTTGTCCCATTGCGAAGAGGAGCTCTTTGCTGTGTGCCAGGTCTCAGAGGGCTGATGCCAGCACAGAGGTCGCCAAGATGTTACTGTCCACAGCGAAGGGGAGCAGTGCTCACAGCGGGGGGCAGAGCCCAGTTCTGGGAGCCCAGAACCAGGGGGGCAGAGTGCTGGTCGCAGCGCCCGGAGCAGAGCGCGCAGCTCTCTTCCTTTGGGAGGCAGGAAGCACTGCTCCAGTACCCGGGTGCCAGAGCCCTAGCTAGAGCCTCAGTGCAAGTGCTGGAGACCCGAGCGCACAGTAACAGTCAGGATACCCAAGCCCGGGGCGCCTTTGCCAACAAGTGCTGTCCACGCGCCCTGGCTGTCTGCGCAAGGAGGGGCTGGGGCGGCGGCGGCCCGGAGCTGGGTCCCGCTGACAGCATGGGGGAGGGGAGTCCTGGCGTGGAACCCGAGCCCCGGGGAAGAAAACGCCATCAGCACCACCACCAGAGCACAGATCCCAAAATAAACCGGAGCCCGCGCCAAGTGCTCGGCGCATTCTGGGTCTGAGGACTGTGCCCCCTCTCGGAGCGGCACCGCGGGTCCTTTCCCGGGGGCCGGCGACCCCTTCCTGGGAGTGACTTTCTCCGCCCGACCCCCTAGACCCATCGCCCGCTCTTACCGATTTGGGTTTCTTCTTGGGAGCGAGGCTGTCGTAGAAAGTCTTAGCCTCCTCCCAGCGCGGGGCCGCCGCAGTCTCTGGCCCCGGCCCAGGCTCGCGGGCCTCCCGGGGCTTCCTGGGTTCCATGCTCGGTCTAACCCGGCCCGGCCAGGCCGGAGCAGGCGGCGGCGTGGCGATCGCGGGCGGCTGCGGGCTGGAGGCGCCCGGGCGCGGGAAGGGGCGGGGAGGGCGCGTGAGAGCGGGCGCCGCCCCCGCGGAGGGGGCCGGGAGGCGAACTCGCCCGCCGTCGCCTGTGTGCAGCTGCGGTGCGTGTGTTTTGGGGGTACAACTGGGCTCTCTGTTCTCGACCGATCCACGTCCGGAGCAAAATGGGAGGGGCCCCGGGGGAGGGGGCTTGACACCCCGCTGGTAGCTGCTGCGCACTCCGGGCGGTCGGGGTGATGTTTAAGGGCACCGAAAGAAGGGAGGCCTCACAACTTTCCCCCCAGGACAGTGATCCTCAAATGAGAAAATGAAAAGCTAGTAACCCCCGCCCCCCCCCCCAAAACCCTACAAAAAACTATCTGTCCTTCTGTCCCCTCAGATGCCAGTACCCTGGGACCCTGAGCAGACCCCAGTGCATCTCGCAGACCGGGAGGAAGCGGTGGATGGACAGTTCCGACCACGAACAAGGGGCTGTTCCCAGTGGGGAGCAAGTGGAGGACAAGTCTTCCACACCACGGCGGAGGAACCTTTGAAGTCTGTGGAGACACTGTGTCCCCTCGAGAGTACCCGGGAGATACTCATGGACGCTGAGCCCAGATCCTTGCTGGCCCCCCTTGGTAGCCAGCAGAGGGCGCACATTCCCATGTCCCACTAGGCGCGCTTAGAATGGGCAGTTACATGTTTCTAAGGGGGTGCAGGTCCACGAGGAATGTAATCATTGTGTATCGCAAACGTGTACCAATAAAAATAAAAATAAAAAAGGAAATGGCTGGAGGGAGGCATGGTAGAAGTGGGGTCTCAGAACCAAAGAATTTTAGGCCATCATTTTGGTATTCTAGGGTATTGGTGCCGAGTTGTACTATGACTATCATCGCTTTCAAGGCACAGGCGGGGAAGCAGACAGCATCTCTCAGAGGTGAGCGGGGGGGTGGGGGTGGGGTGAAGGAGGTGGGGGAGAAGCAGAAGAAACACTGGCTTAGCCAGGGAAGCCTTGGTCTGGGGAAGGAGGTACAGAATGGAGAGATCTGCCCAGTCTCCACCATGTCTGGAGAGGAATGAATCGTGTGTGGGAGGAAGGCAAAATAATAATGATAAAAAAGTAGACCTGTCCTTCTCCTGACGGGTAGGAAATTTCCAGGTATGACCCCCAAGCCTCTCCCATCTTTCCTGCCCTTTGGTAATGTGAGAGTGACTCCTTCCCCTTAGAGATGGAGTTTGTCTGAGCTGGTCCTTTAATAGATGTAATAGAAATGACGTGATGTGGTTTCTAAGCTTAAGAGACCTTGCAGATTCCATTTCTGTCCTCCTGGCACCAGCTACCATGTACAGAAGTGTGGGCTGTCCTGCTTAAAAGGCCACGTGGTGGCGCACATCTGTAATCCCAGCACTTGGGAGGCTGGGGCAGGAGGGTTGCTGTGAGTTTGAGGTGAGCCTGAAGTGTGTATTGAGATCATGTCTCAAAACAATGAAAACAACAGAAAAGGCCTCTTGGTGAGAAGAGGCCCTGCAGGGTAAGAAGCTAGGAGAGGAGCTGAGGTATAGCTAAGGGGTAGAGTGCATGCTTAGCATTTGTGAGGCTCTGGGTCCAATTTCCATCACAAGGTAGAGGAGGAAGAAGAGGGATGAGGAGGAGACCCAATCGAGGAGAACTGAGGTTCTCCAGCTGGCTTTCAGGACTAATTGTCAGACACATGAGTGACGATATCTTGGTTCCAGCCCAGGCCTCACTCCCAGTGCAGTTCAGCCAACAGGAGCAATAAAACCTTCCTGCTGAGCCCAGCCAACTCATAGAACCATGAAAAATAACGAATAGATATTGTTTTAAGCAGTAATGTTTGGGGTAGCTCATCACACAGCAATAAATAATTGAAAGTCTAGGCAGAGGTTAATTATTCACAGGTTCCTCATGGAAAAAGATGTGGTCACTTGGGGGAAATGTGTAGAGTGGTTATTTGGTTGGGGACAAACACTTGACGCAAAGGTGAGCCATCCCCACACTCGGTGGCTTTGACCTGTGTGGCGGGCTTGAAGAGATGACATGGGCCAATCAAATTCCAATTCCTGGGGAATTTGGAATTGGGAAACAGGGGCTGGGTAGTCAACCTCAAAAATGACTGGGGATGCTGTGAAACACACTTGGCTCCCAAGAGACCCAGATGTGCCTCGACAGGCTGCAGTTATACAGAATGTTGAGCAGAAGAAGTGGGGGAGTAGAGCGAGCCACCCAGCACAACCGCTTTCCATGGCTTTCCCCACATGGCTTCAACAAAGGCCCCACGGAAGAAAGTGGGTGGCTACGGCTTTTGCTTGACTAAGCCACCTTTCCCAACCTCTTCTAGTAACAAGCCCTGCCTCCCTGCCTCCCTGGCCAAGGAGTAGCTTAGGACCAAGACCTGCCCAATTGCTTTCCTGGACCTGATAACTGATCCAGGGATGACCTCATGACCCCCTCTGGGCACTCATAAAGAATGCTGGGAGGTTTGGCTCTTTTTCCTCTGGGGTTACTAATTTGGGATGATGTGAGCTAGGGGCCTATCTTTCCCTGTGGCAGTGAAAGAACATGGAGAAAGCCCATCTAGAGGACAACCAGGTCACAGAGAGAGAGGCAGAAGTAGGAAGGGAGAGGGTAAAACAATGAGCCTCTAATCCAGCAGGGTGGGAACTTTCCAGTTACATGAGCCTATAAGCTTTCCTTTTTACCTAAGCTCATTTGAGTTGGGTTTTGTTCACCTGTAACCAAAGGTCACAAATAATACATTCCCCTTTACTCACACAAACATGCAGAGGCCTCTATTCCTTGCCATTAAGGGATCCTGCCCAGACTTGGGCTCAGCTTTAAGACATTAAGGGCTTTCCCCAGACCCTCTTTGGAAGGGTTAGAGAACTGGATCCTCACTGGTTCTTTCCACTTTTCTGGGCTTCTGGCCATCCTCTCAGGCTTGCCTGTCACTTCCTGAGAGCAGGCTGGGTGCTCCTGGCTCTGTACTCCTGGGCTCCAGCCAGCACTTTCCTTTCAGGTCTGGTATTTCTTCAGATAAGTAATCTGGGACCAGACCCCACACCTGAACTGCTCCCCTGGGCCCCCCTGTGCAGCGTGTCTGGCCCTGTTGGCTGTCATTCATAAAGACCCCAGGCAGATGCCACCTCCTCCTCAAAGGCATCTCTTCCCGTTGCCCTTCACTCATCCCCACCACCGCCAGGCAAGACCCTTCCTCCCCTGAAGCCCAGAGTTTGTGGTTTTCTACCCGCCTTTCCATATTCTGATTTGGGGGCCCTCCCATGGCTCAGAAACCACAATAAGTCATGTTGGTAGACCTGAGTTCAAGTTCCAAATTTACCAATCTCTGAGCCTTCATTCCCTTGTCTTAAAAAAATGGAGACACAGTTGGGCATAGTGGCATACACCTGTAATCCTAGCTCTCGGAAACTGAGGCAGGAGGATCACAAGTTTGAGCCTAATTTGGGCAACTTAGCAACTGAGACCCTGTATCAAAAAAGAAAAGAAAAAGGGCTGCAGGGTGTAACTTAATGTGAAGTCCCTGGGTTCAATCCCCAGTGTAACAAAACAAAACAAAAACCCCTTAAGTGCGCTCAGCTGACTATGACAGACAGTGTAGATGTGAGGGGTCCATTGGAGGGTCTGGAGGGCTTCACAGAGGATGAGGCCAGTGCAGCAGGGGAGTATGTGGCCCAGGGAGGGACCACAGCTTGTTGTGTACAATTACAGAGGCCTAAGACACTCCTCAGGAAAATGGGGGAGGAGGGACATTCTAGGTGGCTGGAGTGCCGGGTACAGGAGTGTGATGTGAGATGGAGAACAAGGCAGGTGCCATCGTGCAGGGCCTTGAGGGACATTTAAGGTGTGAATCACACCGAGGGCCCAGAGGTCTTGCACAGCTGGCAAGGTCAGGTGTGTACTTGGGGAAGGTTGCTCTAGCTTCCTGCTGTCAGTGAGACCAGACATAGGGCAAGGCTGAAAATAGGAGGTAGACCAGCCTGACTGGACAAGAGATAGGAAGGGTCTGGGGAAAAGGCAAGCCAAACCATTTGCAACCCCCTCGGGCTGGGACCAGGAGTGTACCATCTCTCCTGGGAGGAGTGGCTTCAGCTGGGAATAGCAGCCTCAAGTTCTCAGGCTTCTGAGTCACCTCCTCAGGTTCATGGCTACCCCGAGGCCAGGTCAGCCTCCTTCCTCTGTCCTAATTGCTTCCTGCCACGGGAGCTGCCCCCTCCAAGTGTCCTTGAGGAAACCCTTGTAGAAGCAATCAAGCGTTTCAGAAGCAGGTACCTCCGGCTGCTGCTGCCCCAAATCCCTGCAGGAAGCAGTGCCACTCTGGATTCTGGGGGTGTTCTGAAAGGAGCACGTCATCCACACAACTATCCCCTGCCATACACACACATCTGGGTCAGTTTTGGGGTCTCAGGGCTGGAATCCTGTGGATGGTTTGCCTTGACCGGCAGGGCAAGTGGGGTCTGAAATCAACCCATATGCTGAGCTCCCTGCCACAACAGGGCTGCATTTGTACAGAAACAGGGGTGTGTTTTTCTAAATAGCCCAAGGTGCCACCTTCTACCTAGCTGCATACTTACAGGGCTGCTTCCACTCCAAAAGAGTACCTTTGTCTTCTTTTCCTTTCTTTCTTTTCCTCTCCTTTCCCTTTTCCCTTCCCTTTCCCACCCTTTCCTCCTTCCTTCCTTCTTCCTTTCCTGGTACCAGGGATTGAAACCAGGCTCTTCACACTGACCTACATCCACACTCCTTTTTATAAATTTTTATTTTGAGACAGGGTCCCACTAAATTGCAAAGTTTCCCGGGTTGGGCTTAAACTTGTGGTTCTCATGCCTCAGCCTCCCAAAGTACTGGGATTATAAGCAGGCGCCACCACACCCACCGTACCTTTTCTTAATTTGTACAAAGGACAGCCTATGAACTAATTGTCCCCCTGGCTCTTAGCTTTTCTTCCCACCGGCCACTATGCCTTCATTTGGGCTCTTGTGATACTTTCCATTGGACAGGGAGAAAAACTAAGTCCCATGCCTGCTGCCAATAGCTTCCTTGGCGGGGGGTGGGGGTGGTGGTGGTGGTGGTACTCTGCTCAGAGTCCAGGATGCTTCAGATGAAGGGAAGATGCCTGATCTAGGGGTCTCCCCAAAAGCTAAGCCAACCCAAGTAGAACCAGAACTAAGAGACAAAGAGTGGGGAGGTCTGTCACTGCTAAGTCCTGAGGCAGAGGTGGAGATACAGCCACTTTGTGCAGGGAAACCAAGGAAGTCTGAAGAGAAGCACAGAAGAGAATACAGATGCAGATGCTGCTTAGGGCATGAAAGCCCACCAGCCAAGGCCGAGAGGGCCAGTTCCATTCTTGAGACTCAGTCATGCCTGATTTTTCATCTCTAGGGTCCCTTGTGATCTGCTCCCCTCTTTCTTTGACCTAAGTGGGTTCTTGTGCCCTGTGACCAGAATCCTTGCCAGAAGGACTTGGCCTCAAGGAGATCCCTGAGGTGTCCCCACTCTATGAGGCCCTGAGACTTCTCTCAGCCCCGGCCCAGCCCCAGCCCCAGCCCAGCAGAAGAGCCGGAGACCTCAACACAGTCACATCTTTTATTCATTGTCAGTGGGAAGCACACACACCACACAGCACAGGGGTGGACAGTGGAGACAGTCACTGTGGGCACAGCCAGAAGCGGCACATCCTCAGTAGATGGGGCTGGCACCAGGGAACTCATGGTCAGTTGGGGCCCCCTGCCATGCAGCCCCTCAGCTTCCCTAGGCCACATCGCTGCTGCTGCTGCTTAGAAGGCCCTGGGCCTGGTCCTCCTGCGCCTACCAGAAAGGGCCACACTTGGACACCCTGTCCTGCCCCCACGCTCTGGCAAAGGTAAAAAGAAAACCCTGAAATTTTCAGAAAGAAAATCCTCCATGTTTCTGAGACACTTTTTTTGGTACCAGGGATTGAACTTGGGTCCTTGCGCTTTTGAGGCAGGCGGCGGAATCACTGAGCTAAATCCCCAGCCCTTTTCTGAGACTTTTAAATGGAGGATTTGAATTATTTCCTTCATCAAGAATGATGAATAAAGTATGTAAGAAATGAATTCTTGTCCCTACAGTGATCTCTAAAATCAACACAAAGCCTCACCCAGGGTGGATCTTCAGGAAGTATTTGTTGCTTTAATAAACTTTTAGTGTAAAAATATTTACAATGTCAGCTTGATACCCTGCCTAGAAATACCAGCTTCTTCCCTTACTCTCTTTCCACCCTTGCACTAGCTTCTCTCTGCAGCAGGATGATTTTCTATCTCTAGGGATCTCATCATTGCCAGGAAAAAGAAAGGATTTAATGCCTTTGCTTGTGAACTTATTTTTGGCTGGACTTTTGACTCAAGGTTAAGTTAAATAATCCTGACTACAGCTCTGAGGACTGGCGTGGCCATCTGAAGGAACCTGTGTTGATGATTTTTAGAGATAAGAATTAAGAGGCCCTTCAATTAGTCCAAAAAGATGAAATGAAAACAGGTTATATGAGAAGGCAGATTCTGGAACCTCAGAACTCAGAGCAGCTGTAAGAAGATACAAATTTTCCAAGGAGACTTTGGCTATATCAGTGACTTAACTGTCTGAATATTTTTGTATCTGTGCAAGCCATTCATAAATCTCTGCTTGGTGACAAGTCTCTCTGACCTGGGGCTGGGATGGGAGACTTGTCTCTCTTCTCAAGACAGGGCTGGTGCTCTACCACATGGCCTCCTGGGGGCACAGTCCTTGTGACACCCAAAATGATGTGGGAGCAAGGCCTGGCCCGCTTGTGTCTCCCCCCATCAGTGAGATGGTCTCAGATTGGCCTTGGATTGGGTTCACTCTGCTGGGCTGTCTGAAAACCCTTGGCCTGACCACCAATATAACCCAAGGGTGGGTATGTGTGCAGAAGCCTGGAGTGATGGAACATGTTCTCCTTGGTAGGACTTGCCTACCAACTTGGAAAAAAACAAAAATCATTCTCTTAGGGAAGAAGATGGTGGTAAAGACAATGCAAGACACTTCCAGGGTTCTGGGTCAGAGGTCTTTAAGGACAGCATTGGTCCATTAGCAGAGCTGTGCAGAAGCCAAACACAGGATGTTTGAAAATGTAGGGAACTCCAACTGAGCCCCTATTCCTTTTTGGAAGACCATAGCTTCAGGAACTTCTTAGCAGGAAGCTTATAAAAGATGAAAGCCAACTTGGCTAACCCACAGCTGACCTCCTCACAAATCAGACACAGAAATGAGCAGGGAAGAGAAGACTTCTCTCAGTGAGCCTTGGGTTCAAGTCTTGGCATCATATCGTTTCTTGACTATGTGCTCTTGCACAAGGGACTCCCTTTCTCTGAACTGCAGCTTCCAAGTATGGAGAAAGGAAATGAAAATCCCTGTCTCCCTTGGCTGTGAGGACTCAATGCGATAGGGTAGAGAGCAAGCCTTTGAAAACCATGGAATTCTATGGGATTGGGAGTTAGACTTGATTCAACATCTTGGGGGCAGGAACCCCATTTAGGAAAAAGCCTTCCACCAGAAGATTCAGGTCCCAGCTCAGTCAGGCTGTTGGGCATTTGTATAGCTGTGGTGCTGATTGACAGCACAAGACACAGCTAATAACCAGCTCCCGAGGGCAATGGAACATCCTTTGAGGCATTACTAGATAAATCTCTGCTAGCTACTACCTGAGGATGTGAATTCTCCAGCCTCACCATGTGGTTTGGTCATAGGCAGGATAGAAAGAGGGTGGCAACCCAGCGACCTTGCTACCTCCAAGGGTCACAAGAAGGAAGGTCTAATAGAGCTTGGGAGCACAGGCCAGGATACCGAAGTTTCCACCTGCAGAGAGTCAGCACAGGGGAGCCTTTGAAAGTCAGGGACAAGCTGCATCTCGTTCCTGCAGATGCACTTCCCACCACCACATGCCCTGGCTCTGCAGTCACTCCCACCTGGGTGAACATCACCCATGTACTAGACTGTTTTCACCAGCAATTCAAGAGGAAGTCAACTGTCACTGCACATCAAAGCTAATTTCTGATTACAAGTACAGGAGAAAGTAAAGGGAATGACTTGATGGAGAAGCAAGAAGAATTTTTTTTGGCAGTCAAAGCATGCAGCTATATAGCTCACGGGCTCAAAATCAGAAAGCAAAGCCAGGGTATTAGGAAGTTGATGCATTACCAGGTAGATCTAGGATTGGGGGTTAGAAAAAGCCTTTCAAATGGAGCACGCCCAGCACAGTTTTAGGCATTTGATCTATGAATGCAGCCTGGGAGCCTGATCAATAGCCAGGTGGTCCTTTTCTTCTAGCTCCTTCTGTATTGGGGACAGTGAAAGAGCAAGCCCATCCCCACACCACGCTCAGAAACAAACCACCAAGGTGTAGGATATATACTTCTCTCATCCCTGGTAAACTTTGTTGTTTCTGTCTCTTAAGTCGGCACCCAAAGTGTGCAATAAAGAGTCACTTGTTGAATTGAAAAAGGTAATTAAAAGGAAGCAGCAGAAGCAGCAAGAGCTGCTGATGGTGACAGCTCAGGACTCAGCCTGAACCTCACCCCCCAAAGGGCCATCTGTGAAGTCTGGTGGTATTTCCTCCCTTTACCATGGTTTTCCCCTCAAAAATAAGCATTTTCTATATTCATTTAATCATTTTTATAAGAAACCAAGTAATATAGAATATATTTAATATTCTAACCTAATAAAATGGTTTTAGGTCTTATAAAGGGTACTAAAAAAATAAGTACTATATAGATTTTCATTTTTCTTCAAACTTCCACTCACATGGCTCCTGAACATCCAAGTTCTTTCCATTTGGGTGGAGCTCGCTGGAAGATGCAATAGCTCCTCTCGAACCAACCAACTTTCCTCCCTCTTCTCAACTGGGCTCCACATCCCTCTCTGAGACCCTGACCACCGAAGTTGCCCTTTTATGAGCTTCCAGAGGGCACAAAATATGTCTTGTAAACTACCATATTCTTAGCACCTAAAGGTGCCTGCTTTAAATAAGTGCTCAATAAACATTAGCTGAAGAAAGGACTGAATGAACGCTCCAAAGGCTGTGGGCCAGAGAGGCCAGGTAGAGTTAAGGGGGCAGGGCAAGGACCACCTTTAAGGGATCTGAGTCCTTAGGAAAGGACAGACCTGATTTGGCTCTTTGGGGCCTGAGGGACCCTATTCCATAAAGCATAATCCCAGGAACAACAGGATTTCAAAGCAATCCCAAGCCCCCCTCCTTAACCCTGCCTTTTAGGGCAAACATCAACTCCCCCATGGCCAAAGGACGTTGGTCTAGGCCAAGGCTGGGGCTGGGGCTACCTGACAGGATACCCGATACCGAGGACCTGTCTCTGTTGCTGGGAGGTGGTCCCTCAGGGAACTTGACTGAAGGGAGGAAGGGCTTGGGCAGTGGAGTGGGTGGACTACAGAGTGAGGCTAGAGTGCCCCTCCCCCTGGGGAAGGGCCAGCCAGAGAGGTCATCAGGTTGGGAGGTGGCCATGTCCCTCCTGGCCAGGGGCCCTGCCCCTCACCGGCCTCTACTTCTGCATGTCACACTGCAGCAGCAACACAATGGATGGGTCACTCTTGGCCGCCTCCTTGAACTCTTCCAGCGTAATCTGGTCATCTTTATCCTGGTCCATCTTCTTGAAGATCTTGTCCACACGCTGCTGGGGTGTGAGCCCGTCCTGGTTCATACGCATCATGATCACAGTGCCCACCATCTTGTAGATAGCCTGGGGTGGGGGCGAGGAGGAAGGTGTGAACACCCACAAAAGGCAGGGAGGATGAGGGTGAATAAAAGGGATCTGAGAGAGTGGGCGGGAAGAATACTGGGGGACAGTGAGGTTATTGGAAGGTGATATTTGGCCATTAAGATGGGATTTTTAATGAGTACCTCGAACTAATCACATTTCAAACCCAACTCTTCACTCCAGCCCGAGCCTCCTCCAGTGTTCTGTCTCAGTAAGCAGCACCTCCACTCTGCCAGTTGTTCAAACCCCAAACCCTGATGTCATTCTTAACGCCCCTCCTTCTCATACTCTGCATGCAATTCTCTGGCCAACTTTGTCAGCCTTGATTTTGCAATCAATCCCATCTCCACCCACTTTCTACCACCTCCACAGCCCCTCCGTGACTGCAGCCTCCACCAGCTCTAGACTGGCTAGGTGCCCTGGAAGTCCCCTTACTGGTCACCCTGCTTCTGCTGCCCTCTTCCTTTATCTGTTCTCCACATTCAGAACAAACTCAAAGCCTCTTCCCCAGTCTGGGAGCCTGAGCACTAGGCTCCTGCTCCCTATCAGATCACCTTCCTGTCACTCTCTCCTCTACTCCTTTCTCTCCTACTAACCTAGCCGCTGGCCACTCCTTGAACCTTGCAAACACAATCTCACCTGCAGTTACTGCTCCTTTGCACAGACATTGGATCAGCTCCTCACCTGTTTCAAGCTGCTGCTCACTATTCACCTTATACAAAATCACATTTTCTTCCTCTGCTTATCCTCTTCATAGCACTGGCCAATATGGCATAGGTTAAAATTTCTCACTAGAAGGAATCCCCCTGAAAGCAGAAACTTTGAGAGTTTTTTGGGGGGGGTGTGTTTGTTATTGTTGCTGTTTGTTTGTTTGTTTTTTGAGACAAGGTCTCACTATGTAGTTCAGGCTGGCCTTAAACTTGAAGAGATTCTCCTGTCTCTGCCTCTCAAGTACTGGCATTACAGGTGTGCACCACCACGTCTGGCTGAAAGCAGGAACTTTGTTTTGTTTTGTTTTTTGGTACCAGGGATCGAACTCGGGACCTTACACTTTCGAGGCAGGCGGCGGAACCACTGAGCTAAATACCCGGCCCTAAAGCAGGAACTTTAAACAGTACCTGGCACGAGGTAAACACTCAAAACATTAGCCTAGAAAATGAATGAGTTAAGAATGTAAACTCTGAGTTGGGCATGGTGGTGCATGCCTGTAATCCCAGGACTCGGAAGGCTGAGGAGGGAGAATCATGAGTTCAAGACCAGCCTGGGCGACAGAGAGTTCAAGGCAGGCCTGGACTACAAAGCAAGACCTTGTCTCAAAAAACCAAAGCCAGAACACAACAAAACACTAACAACAACAAACCCTTAGGCTCTGGAGTCAGGCTCCCTTGATTTGAATCACAAACCGCCACTGCTACCCTTTCCTTCTGTGTAAAAAGGGGCTTCTGACAGTGTCTACCCCTTAGGTGAAATAGTCCAGAGTTTGCAGTGGGTCGCTGGACCCTAGCTGGGTAGAGCTGGGGTGCAGCAAGGAGCTCCCCAAGATCTCAGCCCCCTTCCCTGCGCACCTCAATGATCTCCAGCATCTCGAGGCGTGTGATGCGCCCGTCGCCGTCCAGGTCGTACATCTCAAAGGCCCAGTTGAGCTTCTGCTCGAAGCTGCCACGGGAGGTGACTGACAGGGCGCAGATGAACTCCCGGAAGTCGATGGTGCCATCGCCATTCTTGTCGAAGGTCCGGAAAGCATGCTGTGCGAACTTGGAGGCGTCGCCGTAGGGGAAGAACTAAGGCCGGGTGTAGGGTGGTGAGGTGCATGTCAGCCTCGTCCTCCCGCCTCCCCGGTCCTCTTGGGCACCCCCCACCTCTGTGGCCCCCTAAGTTGCCATCTGCCTGCGCCCACCTTGATATAGAGCTGCTGGAACTCCTCCAGGTTGAGGATGCCGCTGGGACAGTCCTTCAGGAAGCCCTTGTACCACTGCTTCAGCTCCTGCTCACTGAACTCCGTGTTTTGTACCAGGTCCTCCAACACCTCGGGGGCCAGCTTGCTGTTGGTCTTCCCCATGGCAAGGCCTGGAGGACAGGGAGCTCCTTCAGCTTAGCTCAGGGCAAGGCCCTCACCTTAGCCCACTCCCCCATCCCTGCCCCCCCTTCTCCGCAACACGTCTTCCACCAGGAGCCTGACTTCCTAGCCAGGATCCTGCCTTCCTCGCAGGGTCCTCTCCTCTGGTCACCCACCCCAACAATCCCCACCAGGGCACAGCAGGGCTCTGTCCTTCATTCTCACCTTTGCATGGGAAGCCCACCTTCCCTGGTCCATGCCCCAGCCCCCACACACAGCACACACACACACACACAAAATGACATAACAGCACCACTTCTCCCCTCACAACACCCTGCACCCTGGAGAAGGCCCCTCCAGGCCTGAGGATCTCCAGCATTCCAGGTCTCTGCTGGCCCTCTCAATAACCTGTGCTGCAGCATGCCACAACCTTCCTCCTCACCTCTTTTCTTCCACCTTCCATAGCTCCCCACACCCATAGCACAGACGGTTAACTACTCTTCCTGCTATTCAGGGCTTTCTACATGCAGTGCCTCCCTCCTGGGCAAGCTCCTCTCCTACTAAGACCAGAGACAATTTCCTTATGTGTCTTCCTGATGCCCGCCTCCCAAGTTCTTTTTCAACACCTTTCCAGCCACTCCAGGAGGAACTTCCCTCCCTCCTCCCCAAGTACAAGTAGAAATCAGCTGGAGCGCTGATGACTCTGATTACATTCTGCTTTTGATTAACCCTTTCATCTCCTGAGCATTTATGGAGGCTGACTATGTGCTAGGCCTTCAACTAGGGATGGAGACAAAGCCAACACAAACCAACCTGCAGGACTCATAACTGGCCCAAACAGGTGGATGGCTGATTCCAAAGGGCCTTCAGTCCATCCCAAGGAGTTTGGACTTTAACCACAGGCAACAGAATCAGGGAGTTTTTAAGGAAGGGCTTTGAAGCTAACATTCATTTCACAATATTTACAGGATGCTTGCACTATGCCAGGTCCTAATTTTGGTGCTGGGGACCCAGAGAGAACACAAGAGTATAGGGAGTTTTTCCTTTGGCTACAGTGTGCAAGATGACGTGGAGTCAGGGGAGGTGGGCAGAGCAGGGAGGAACCTGCTACACAGTTTAGGTGATAGATGATGATGCCAGGACAGGGGCTATAGAGAGAAATGGATGAGCAGAGAGATCCTAAGACAGGGCTTGGTGACCGCCTGGATGTTGGGGTGAGATGGGAGAAAGGTTGAGGCAGATGTTCAGATTTGGGGCTGAATGGATAGAGCAGTTGTTGCTGAGAAGCTCTCAAACCCTGAAGTAGCCTGTTCCGGAGAAAACATCTGCAGAGGGTAGCCCAGGACCTTTACAAAAGCCTAGCCAGGGGATCACAAAACTTGGGTTTCCCAGACACACTTGGGACATGCCTTTCACCTGCCTAGAGTTTCTTTAGAGGGTCCAGGCTCCCACTGCTGGTAAACTGTCCTCAGGATACTCTGAAAAAGGAAGCCCTTTGGCAAAAGGAATTCCACTTCCACAGCCACCCCATACCAGTGCGATCTCTAATCCTTACTGTTGGGAATACCTTGAGTCACCAGATCTGTGGTTGGACAGTTTCACGCCCCAACCTTTTTGCCAGGCAACCCAAGGTTAGTTATAAGATATCTCTGGGCCTCATGTTCCTCCACTGGGCCGTGAGGAAGATCAAGGAGGAGTGAAATGGCAACATCTTTCTTCACCTACCATCCCCAGAGGATGAGGCATCCCATTTCCTCAGGAGAGCTAGGGGGTGGGGAGGTGCGCCATCTTCAGGAGCCTGGAGCTATGGAGTCCAAGACAGCCACACTGGGGTCTGGAACACCCACGGGCAGAAGGAGGCAGGGTCCCCAGCTGCCCCCCCTCAGGTTCCGAGATTCGGCAGGCTCAGGGTGTCGGGAAGGAAGCTGGAGAACCCAGCAGCAGAGGTGTGCACTGGGGGAAGCAGAGCCACTCCCCATGTCTCTTGTGCACTGTGCCAGAGGGTCTGTGTGGGAGGGTGTCAATGTTTGAGACTGCAAATCTGTCAGAGTGCACGCATCTCTGCGTGTGTCGTGGTGTCTGTGTGTGGCCTTCACCTTCTGCCCCATTCTCCTCCTGTCCTGTGCTGCCTTCCCCACAATTCTGTTTTATCCCTGTCCATACTTGGTCCCACACTCAGTGAGGCCTAGGAGGCCTAGGCCTCCTCCTCCATTTCTTCTCAGCTCCTCTACTGCTCTTAGTCAGTCAGAGGTCAAAGCTGACAGTGCCCTTTGAGGTCATCCCCTTATTCTAGTGAGAAGTGAAACTGAGGGAGAGGAGAACACTGGTTCAGTGTTACTCAGCAGGTCAGTGAGGGATCCTGATGAGCACCCAGGCTGAATCCCTGCCATCTCCCTGGCCCACCCTCTCCACATCAGGGCTACTCTGGCTCACCACAGACCTTCTCCACCCCCATTTGTCTTCTGGGAAAATCAACTCTGATCTTCATTTTGGGCTCAGTGGGATCATCTTGCTTGACCTCCAGGCCAAGATCTCTGATATCCAGAAATATCCACCCTGGTGCTGGTGCCATTAGTATGCAAGTTACCATATCTATAGCCAGATTCACCGTCAACCTGAGACAACCTGTCTCTCTCCATTGCCCCTTCCCTCTTTCCCTCATCCCCGGGTTTTGGTGGAAACATGATCTGTAAGTGACTTTAGATCTCCCCTCTCCCTTTCCCCCAGGTCCAGCTTGCTATTAAGTCCCGTGGTTTCTTCTTTTGAAACACTCCTGGAATCTTCACTATGTCTATGGCCAGGGGCACAGCTATGGGGCTCAAATCTACCTGGGACTCTGCTTGCAAAGCCAGGCCCATGCCCGAGAGGCTCATCTGCCTTGCAAGAAGTGCCTTCCTTCTGACTCCCCTGTGCCCACAGAATGCCTCTCCCCATTCCGCAGAGATTACAATGTAGGGTAGAGGTAGCTATGCTTGTGAGCCCTCTGAAACGCCAGAATTTTCTAGAATCTGGTCTCAAGGTGTCGACCTGGTAGCCTCCCCTTCCATTGCTCCCCTTTACTCTTCTCAAGCCAGGCTTCTCATAACTGGAACCTGCATCATCTGTCTGTTTAGCTAGTGTCCACACCCCCATCATCCTCTCTTCTCTTCTGGGCTCACACAAGTTGCATTCAGCCTTGAGGCCTGGCTGAAACCTGCTTCCTTATGATCAGCCTTTTCAAGCCTGGGCAGTGGCCAGGCAGCAGCATGGGCTCAGCACTCTGGGCACGAGTAGACCTTGTGAGGCAGAGGAGTGGGACCCCCACAGCCATATAGCTCTCTGGCCCTCATCTGGTGCTCTAGTTTTCCGGGAAAGGCCTTGGCATTCAACCCCTGCCCAAGCCACACAAAGTTCTCTAGGGCTTTTTGCTCAATGATAAAGAGCTTATCCTCTCCTAATAGGATCCAGAACACTTTTAACCAGCTTGGACAGTGAGAGAAGTGCTATCCCCATTGTTCCTGAGGTGGCTCTTCTGTGCTATCATCCACAGGCTCCAGCCTTGCCCTCTGAGCCTGCCAAGAGCTCACTGCAGAGACATGAACGAAGAGCCTAGGGCTCAGCCATGTCCAGTGGCTGTCTCCAAGTAGATTATGTGAGAGCCCCTTTTCCTCCTTGGAACTATGTCACCCTGTTTTGTTTGTCTGCGCTCTCTTTCTAGTGCACCTCTTGGAGACAATGGAATTCAGAGCCAGGGAAAGGAAGGGTTTACCCAAGGTCAGCTAGAGCCCATCTGCAGTGAATCAAAGGCCAGAGCCTAGCTGGGGGCATGTTCTGTTGGAGCTGTGGCCTCTGAAGAGCTGTCCTCCAGCTAAGAAGCTGCTGGCCCAGCCCCAAGCACAAAACCACTGCCCCTCTCATGGTCAGAAGCTTCTTCCAGAGCACTCAGGGTTGTGGGCTTCAAATGGAGAAATGACAGTGAGATTGGGAAGGACTGAAAGAGGCAATAATCCCACACCCTCGCCCAGCTTCAGAGGAGCTGGTGCTGAGGCGGTTGCCATGGTGACAACAGCTCCCTGGTCAGGAGATTTTCTCTCTTTCCTCTCCTCCCTTTGCTGTTCTCCAAGCAGCAGCAATAGCAGTAACAACCAGATCTTCTCCCTCTCCTCTTCAAGGAGAAGCAGGGGGTGACAAAGGGTGAGCCCTGTTGGTCACCTCCAATTTGGAGCTGTCCATGCCAGGGGTGGGCTGGTGGTCCAGGAGAGACTCTAAGAGAAGAAGAAGGGAAGGCATGTAGGAGGGGGTGGCCTGCACCCAGGCCTGGGCAAGCCCCTAGGCCTCTACTCTGAAATGTTCTAGTGGTTCAGGACCCTATTTTCCCAAATCTGTCATCAAACCAGAGTATGTCAGTGTTGGAAAGCTGTTCAATATCATTTCAGCCAGTTCACCCTCTTTCCTGTCCCCTCCCCTATATCATGGAAGATCAGAGAGAAGAGTGACTTGGCCACTAAGGCAAAGGCAAGATTTGCACCAAGCTCTTCTGCCTTCCAGGTTCAGGCCACCTGAAGGAAAGAAGCAACACAGTACACATGGAGCTTCAGCATGGTCCCTGTGGAACAGCAGGAAGATGACAGAGAGGGAGCAACTACCAGAGAGGTAGGGTTAGAAAGAGGTGGAATTTGGGGAGGTGGAATGAGGGGACTTGGTACTTTGGCTGTGAGGGGAACGAGGAGGACAGAAAGTGTGGGGGCTGGAGCCCAGGCACCTACAGATGGGGTATACGTGTTCCCTGGGAGTAGGGGTGTCCCTGCTTCATCCTCCAGCCAGGATAAGAGGCCAAAAATAGGGCCTCCGCCTAGTACTGGGGGACCCTGGAGGTGGCGCTGCTGAGACTGTCAGCCAGCAGGAAACGAGGGGAGGGGTCCCTTTTTTGCTCCCTCAGGTGTGCTGAGAGCAGGTCAGCTTTAGAAGTGGAAGTAGGGACAATGAGCAGGGAGGGGGTGGGCTCTCTGTGGAGTGGGGACAGTCTTCGGGTGGTGTGAAGGGCGGTGAACTGCGGCTGTGGGTGGGGGCTATCTGGAGGTGGGAGATTGCCACAGAGCTGGGCAAGCTACTCATCTCCAAAGGCAACAGGAGGGAGGGTGACTTGTGCCTCCTCTGGCACCAGCTACACCCCATCCCCAGGTGCGCGCGCGTGCACGCGTGTGTGTGTGTGTGCGCGCGCGCGCGCCCGCGCTGAGGGCTGAGCAACGGTCGTTACCCCCTGAGCTGGGGTTAAGGAAGCGGCTCTGCTTCCTTTCCTGGACTCGGGGACCGGCCTGAGGTGGAGGTCCCCTGCCCAGGGGCGGGATCTTCAGATGCTGCCGCCTGTGGTGGACCCAGGGTCAGCGACGTGGATGGGGGCAGGAGAAGAGGATGGGAAGGAAAAGTGGAGGGGGAGGGACCCGGGGCCTCCGCCCGGCGGGGTGACCCCTAGGACCGGGCTCCACCCGCATTACCTGAGGCCGCTTGCCGGTCTGGATGGCTCCAAGCCTCCGCGGGCGGGCGGCGGGGACGAGGCTGGCTCTTGGGCAAGCTGCTGGGCTCTCCAAGGTCCGCGCCGGGGCCGCCTCCCAGCTCTTGTATCACTATGTGCCTCTCGGAGGCGACACGATTTGCATAAGCCCCGCCCCATCCCGGACAGTATGGACGTCGATTGGCTCCGCTGGGGCGGAGTGGCAGGCGGGGTTTCAGGTGGCGATGGGGTGGGCAGTGGGGACTGGCTACGGGAGCACGCCCTGCCCGCCGACGCTGACCTTCCCTGAGTCTCCTGGATGGGGGAAAGCTTTACCCCCACCTGAACCTCAGTGCTGAGGCTCAGACCCCAGGGCGCAGTCTAGAGTGAAAAATACCCACGTTTGAAGTGGATTCGCAAAAACAACCGCACCGTTGCTATGGAAACGGGAGAACCACAGCCGAATCCCCAAGCTTTCTCTTCCTGGGCCCCAGCGGTGGTGGGGGTGGAAGAGGGGGTGACTCATAAGATGAGACCCTGCCCCCAATATTCCTACCCGATATTGGAGGGAGACAAAGAGGAGCTGCCGAATGCCAGGATGGGGTAGGGAAGGGATGGGGAAGTTCGCAGTTCAGGCCTTCGCCTCACTCGCCCCCCCAGCGCTCCCCTCCGGCCGCGGAGCTGAGCTGATGGCGGGTGCGCGCGCAAGGCGCGGTACGGAGGGCGAGGAATCCACCTCGAACTAGTCCCACCCTCCAGCCACCCCTTCAGCCCTTCATTCAGATCCCTTCCCAGACACGCCCCATCCTTATTTCTCGAGGACCAAGACTTCTCGGGTTCTCCCCTAGAAGGACCCCTCCATTCCCCACCCTCCCGTGTTCCCGTCGCATGGAGAGAGCCGGTCGGTCCCCAGCCGCCGCCAGTCTCCGGCCTCGGATGTTGACACAAACCCGAGGCGGTTTACACTGAGAGGGTCTGGAAGGTTTCAGGGCCCCGAGAACACCTCCTCCCCGCATTTGAGGGTCTCCCCAAAGCCCAGCCTGGCAATCCAGACTGCACAGACTTCTGAGAGCTCCCAACCTACGACGTGAAAAAGGAAAGCAATCCTTATGCCAGATTGGGGGCGAAGGGGAGCAGCTATCCCTGGGCCTGGCCACGTGCGAGGGAGGGACTTGTAGAGATCTATCAAAAGTAGGGGCGGGGCGCCTGGGGATTGGTCGAATGGGATCGAAGGTGGGGAAGTGCACGCCCAAGAGGCCTGGCTTCTGCCCAAGAAGCAAATGTAGAGATGGGCGGGCGATGGGGGATGGGGACACGAATGCCACCGCAGCAAGGAGGCTTCAGGTGCTGGTCCCAGAAACTCCCGGGTCAGGCCTGCCTGGGAGGCACCAGTGGCCCTTCTTCTTTAGGAACCAGCCCATTCTTCTTTGAACTGGTTTTGCTGGCCCATTGTCCTGGCAAGATATGTTTCCTCTCTGGGGCCCTAACAGGGATTGGGAGCTCCATGGTATTCAACTTTCCAGGTAGGAGGTACATACCTGTCACCTTTAATAGATGACTCATAAGAGACAGTTGTTTAAAAGCCGTAACTCACTCTTTCAGTTCCCAGGCACTTTCTTAGGTCAGTGGGACCCACAGATGGGCACGAATTATGCTGCTTAAGTTAAATGTAATTCCAAGGAAAGAAGCGGGAGGAGGGAGCATGAGTTGGAAGTGGTATCCAACACCTTAAAATGGAGTCCCACTCTTCGCAGTGATTCTGCACATGAGCGTGAGCAAGACCTTTCTAACTCTGGGCCTTCCAGTCTGTAAAATGTGAGATCTGGTCCAAGAGACCCCATGGAGCAGGGGAAGAATTTCAGTTAGGAGGATGAAGAAAATGTCAGGTAGGATAAAATTATGTGGGCATGAATCTGACAGCTCCACTTGTACTCCTGAGCCCCTAACAATAGCCAACATATATTGAGAGCTCACTCTGTGCCATGTGCTATTCTAGAACTTCACAGTAGTCCTCTTTTATTTGTAGTTTCACTTTTTGTGATTTCAGTTACCTGGAGTAAACCATTGCCTGAAAATATTAAATGGAAAAATTCCAAAAAGAAACAATTCCTAAGTTTAAAATTGCTGTTTTCAGTAGCACGGTGAAATCTCATGCCATTCCTCTTCATCCCTTCATCCTGGCTGGACATGAATCTCCTTTTGTCCAGTGTATCCATGCTGTATACACTACCTGCCCATTAGTCACTTAGATGGGCTATAGTAGTGCTTGTGTTCAAATAACCTTTATTTTACTCACTAATAGTCACAATCAGAGTAGTGATGATGCCAGTTTGTGTTTTCCAAAGAGAAGCCACAGAAGGCTTCCTTTAAAGCAAAAAGGTAAAAGTTCTGGATTTAAAAGGAAGGAAAAACTGTATGCTGGATGTTAAGAATTTTTACGACCTACAATAAGAACAAATGTTCTATCCATGAAATTGTGAAGTAGAAAAAAGAAATGTGTGGAAATGTGTGCCAGTTTCACTTTCACACCTCAAACTAAAAGTCATGACTTAGTTAAAATGGTACAGGCATTCAATGATAGGGTTCAGTATTATCTGCAGTTTAGGAATCCACTGGACATCTTGGAACATATTCCCCCTACATAAAGGGGGGCTAATATATATGTATTACCTGATTTATTTCCTGGAAGAACTCTATGAGGCAGGTGCTATATAATTCCCACTTAACAGATAAGGAAATTGAGGCACACAGCAATTAGGTGACTGGCCCAAGATCACATAGCAAGTAAATCTACAGAGCTGGGATTTGAACCTAAGCAGCCTGGCTCCGGAGCCCACCCTTCTCACCAGTACACAATACTGGTTCTCCTTAAGATCCTTCAAGCTCTTAAGGAAAGCAATCTTGGATCGGAATATTCATTTCTGATTTCCCAAAGCGTTAGAAAGGCAAAGTCCAGGCTGGAGATTTAGCTCAGTGGCACTGCACCTGTCTCCCAAGCACAAGGTCTGAGTTCGATCCCCAGTACCAAAAAAAAAAAAAAAAGAAAGGCAAAGTCCAACCTCCTGAAGCAGCTTCTTGGTTTCAGATGAACAAGACATAGAATTCCCACAGCACAAGAGAGCTGGCTGTAACGACAACAGTGATGAGTCCTCCTGACCTGTGACATGGCTCTCGTGACCATCCCATCCCCTGGGCAGGACTACCCATGAAGCCTCATCCATAGATCATCTTGATGCCCTGTCACTGGTCCCAAATTGCCAATCATAACCAATTTATGCCTGCTCATCATGCTTGACTCTGAGGCCCTGGTCCCCTTGGATTTGATGTTTAAAAACAGTAACAGCTGGCCTTGACTGAGTTGCTTCAGTGTTCTAGGCTCTCTGTCATGTCCTTTACTGCATCAATTCACTTAATCCCAAGGATGACCAGTCATCCAGGCTCTTAGTGTTACCACTCAGAATGGCTGTAGTGCTAGACTAAGGTCTTGTAGCTCACTATTCTCTCTCTCTCTTTTTTTTTGGTACTGGGGGTTGAACTTGGGTCCTTGCGCTTGTGCAGCAGGTGATGAAACCACTGAGCTAAATTCCCAGCCCCTAGATCACTATTCTGACAAGAGTTAACACTTAATTATGCAATCAAGACGGGCAGAGAGAGAAGAAGTTAGTTTTGTAGGGGACCAAAGGCTACGATTATTTATCCACTGGTCAATTGGAAGAATGTTGATGTTTTCACAATCAGTTCTGCTGTACTGGTGCATAGGAAGATAATTTCATTGCTGGTATCATTACTTTATTTCATGGTAGAAGATGGAGCTCTGAGAGGTTAGACAGTTTATCCATCATAACTCAGCTCATTAGTCACAGAGCTGGGATTCCAGGCTAGGCCTGACTCCAGCACCCACACGTTTAACCAATGGTTATCCTGTGTACTTGGGAAGGAGTAGAGTGCAGGACTGGGCTGGGGTTCCTTCTGTCAGGCAGCTGAAGGCTGAGCCTGAGGCTTGTGGTTTATGTTCTGGGGCTTTCTTGTGGCCTTGCTATTCTCAGGCCGTGGCAAATACCTGTTGTATGTACAATGAGGAAGCCACATGGAGCAAAGTGCATGGGAGGACAGGATGGCTGTGCAAGGGACCTCAAAGAGGGCCACTGAGGGAACTGAGCCCAGCAAAGCTCAAGTGAGAGTGAAGCAGTGGCCACTTCATTTTGTTTCACCAAGTGCTAGCATTTCTCTCTCCCTTCTCTAGGGAGTATCTTTATGATGGATAATGCCTCTCTGATTCCCTGGGTTTTCTCTGCCATGACTAGTGCAGCCTGGTGACAGCTGGAATTCCCCTGGGTCCTAGATAGTTCACGTCTCCTTCATGGATGGAAGTGAGATCACCAGAGTTTAATTCTTTCCCTTTCTCCTATGGGGTAAGCAGGACTTTTTCTTTTTCTTGGTACCTGGGATCGAACTTGGGACCCTGCATTTGCAAGGTAGGCGGTGGCACGACTGAGCTAAATCACTGACCCAGCAGGACTTTTGAAAAAAATTTCCAAAATAGAGATCAATCACACTGTCTCTCCATATTTCTAGTTCTGTGTGCACGTCTCTGTGTGTGTGTCCATCTGTTTGTTTGCCTGTCTCTCTCTTTTTTTTTTTTTTTGGTACCGGGGATCGAACTCAGGTCCTTGTGCTTGCATAGCAGGTGTCGAAACCACTGAGCTAATTCCCGGCCCTCTCTGTCTCTTTCTTTTAAAAAATTTTTAAATGAATTTTATTGGTATATTTTAGATATGCATAATAACCACATTCATCATTGGGAGTTTGTACCTGTACGTAGTATATCTTGAGTCTTCTTTTTTCCCCAATCCCCTTTCCTCCCTCAAACAATTCTTCCTCTCTTTATTTACAAAAGTTGTTTTCATTTTCCCTTCTACTATCTTTTTTCCCATTTTTCTTCCTTTCTTTCCTCCTCCCCCCTCCTTCGTTCCCCTTCCCATTTGAACATTTTCTTCCCCCTTCCCAATATCTATATATTGTGGTCCTTATTTACCCTTTTGGTTTATCACACCAGAGAAACAATGCAAATTTAAACATGTGCGTCTGATTTATTTCACTTAAGAGTATGGTCGCAAGGTGCATCCATTTACCTAGAAATGTCTCAAGTTTATCCTTTGTTATGGCA